TATTTTGAAAACTGAAGTGAAACATAGATACGCATAATAAAAATTACATTACAACCTTTGATTTAAAGGCAGCGTCCAGGCAAATCTGGACCTATGGGGCTTTTACGTGGAATGTACTTTTGGGGCCCTAACTAAGGCACTGCCCAAGCGGCAGCTCAGGTAGTGCTCTAATGGCTGAGATATTCCCCTCGAAACTGGCCCCCGCGAACGTATTCGCATGGATTCATGGCAGTTTCGCGCCAGGATCCACGCTTTGCCATGAATCCATGCGAAACACGGTCGCGGGGTCCAGTTTCGAGGAGAATATCTCAGACATTAGGGCACTACCTGAGCTGCCGGTTGGGCAGTGGTTTAGTTAGAGCCCCAAAAATACTTTCCACGTAAAATCCCCATAGGTCCAGACTTGCCTGGACGCTGCCTTTAACTGGCTTGGCGGCTGGAAGGCGGGGCTTTATGACCTAATTAGTGCCGCTCACGCCCGCAACGCAGTCTGCGTCTCTCTCTCGCGCGTGCTTTGTAATCATTATCTAGTCTTAATTTATTATGGATGAAAGTTTACATATTGTTGGAGTTATCAAAAATTTACCGTTTGAACGGCTTTCGAACTTTTTGAGTCCCCCACTCTGACCTACTACAATCTTCAAAAAATACGATCTTAATTTTATATATCGACTTCAACCCCCATCAACTTCCTTCTCTACCATGCGAAGTCCTATTATACCTCACTGAAAGTGAAAGTTGCATTGAAGTGGAAATTCTGCTTCTAACTACTTTTTCCTACAGTGGCATGGCGAGCCATAGGAGGCCAGATCCCATGCAAGTGGGCGATCGTCAGTGAAATATGAAAAATGAGCTGAAAATCTTGCTCAAGCGGACTTCTGGATATCGTTTCTTATAAAACTAGTTCTGTGCAGTCGTCGTTAAAATGCAAACATCTTTTTCCCTAGAAGGGAAAGGGCTATAAAATTGTTGTTCGCAATCGTAGGCATGGAAAGCCGAAATAATGTTTTTGGGAATTGGAAAAGCACAAATCTGGAAAGACCATGGAAGTGAAGATATTTTGAAACGGACGTTTTGATGAAAAGTTATTATTTTATTGATTTCGTAAATTATTGTTAATGCCACTATATAGCATGTCGGGTTCCCGACTAGCTTGTTCCAAATCCCTGCAAGAAATATGCCAAGCAAACTCGTCCGACGTTTATTTACTCTCATCTTGAAAGCTTGTTCACGCCAATAGACGTGTAACTGTAAACACTTGTAACAATATTAGCCGATTCTGGTCAGTACAAAGATTCACAATGATATATTTTATTACTGCTCATTTTCTGCAGATTGAGAAAAAAATATCAACCATTTTCGCCAATGCGCTTCAGTAAAGGCTGGAATTTGAGCAAATTTGGGCCACCGTAACCGTAATTTGGGTCACTATTTTTGATCTCCTCAAAGTAAAGGCAATTCCAAAAAAGACCACCTCATTCACCAATTACCCAATATAACAAATTAAGTTTTACTAAGCGTCCTAAAAAATTGTTTTTGAACCATACGGGACACTAGATAAGCAGCAGCAGCAATGTGAACCGTCATCAATTAGCACTAAAGAGACGCACTAAAGAGACGCCAAAAGCGATTTTTGCAGTTGCAAAGCCATATATTTTGATTTTTTATTCCACCCTACTGAATTTCCCGAGAATTTTGTGATTCGTAGCGGCGAATGTTACGTTTGCACGATCGGCAGTGTGCAAATACTTAGTATCTACATGTACTCGCCTTGGACGAGAGATGAACTCTAGGTAATCTAAGTTTTTGTGCATTTTTGCGTTTCCAAAACCAAAGATTAGAGATCAGATTTGTTTCCTTAGTTACCTACCAGGTGAACTGGTAGGTAACTAAGGAAACAAATCTGATCTCTAATTGAACGAAAAACGGATAGGATATTGTTGAGAAGCCATGTAATTTTGATTTTCATTCAAACAAATATTTATGCGAGCAAGCCCAGAGGAAGTGCAGTCCAACATAATATTATTAGTTTGTGTGAAAAACAATGGCAGGACTTAACTTCATTATGTGCAAATATCTTCACCAGCAGGCCTTTTCACCCGCTGCAAAAGGATAATCAAGTCTTCCGGGTGGCGCAGATGTTCAGCGAGAAATAAAGCTATGAAATGGCCAAATTTTATGAAAAAGCTCTGCAAAGAGGAGGTTTTTCATCCTAGTAAAGACTAAAGTAGATTTTCCTTATTTCCCCGTATTTTTTCGAAAGTAGAATACTTTGCTGTGTTTATGAACGCGCACATTTTGCAAACATCGTTTACAAGAACCGAGAAATGAATTAAGAAAATTCCCATAGATCCCAGGAGTTTGCATCTCCGTAATAAAAAAAAGAGTCTTAGATAGGTGCGACTTGCTATGTGGTGCTTGGTTTTGTGCTCCTGCAGTGTTAACAACACTTGAGCGAAAAAAATGGTCATAGAGCCAAAATGGGAAATTTCCAAATTTGTGCATGGCCATTTTTTAGGCGCAATTATTGCTGGTAAGGCAGGAATAGCACCCTGATTGTAAGAGCCAAGCCTGGAACTTCAAATCATGTCTTTCTTCATCAGGTTAATAGCTTTATTGCTACGGAACTAGCGATCGTCTGCGATCATAGAGACGTCAGCTCGTAGCCACTACGGCGCCAGCAATTGACGACCTGATAGATAAAGCGCAATGAACAGAAATTAGTGATGTTTAGTAAATGGCTCGAGCGAAAGACGATCTGTGCCTGAACAGTGTTTTCTTCAAGAAGATCTTGGCTAAGAACGCCATTATGTCCTTCAAGGATCCAATGACATTGGCATGAGAGAGCAGGAAAAAGAGGTCTTCCATCTACTGTGGCCGCTCAAGTGGAACCTCCAGCACATGTTTCCGCTTCCCTTTGGCTTTCTCTTTCATACGTCAGACTCTTGACTTCCTCTTGAGAAACATAAGGTGTCATTCACAAAGTCATGGGGTTATAACGTTCCAGCGATTTGTGGTTCTTGTGCGCATTGGCCGCAATCCGACATTCCCACACGGTTTGTCTAGAGCCTATAAATAGTTCTTTCAACCTGCTCGAGGTCACCCAAAACCTTCATAGATGTTCGCGCATGGCAAAAAACAAGGCCTCAGCCGAACGTGTCTTCGATGACTGAGAACACGCGCATGTCAGATTAAGTGCAGCCAGTTCCTAAGCCAATGTAATCCAACCAGCGAAGGATCCCAAAAAATTGGAGAATCTGAGCCATTTGCTATGATGTCACTGAGTAATCGTAACCACACGCAATTATTTACATAAAATAATGCTACCTCTGCCTCGCAGAATCTCGCACTGGCCATTACGGACGTATAAGGTGAACTTTTAGAATTATTGGTATATCTATGTCACGCAAAACTCACTTGCTTCAAAGCATTGTAAATCATTCTTCACTCTATTCTCGTGACAGACCATAAAAAATAAGAATTCTTCACTGTATTTTCGCAACAGATCAACTCCAAAGATCATGGTATACAGACGGTAATCATCACGCAAGTGGCAACAACTGTAAAAGAGCTGATTTTTTATTTGTGTTTTCATTTTCCCATGTGACCGAGCAGATCCAAGTTTTGAGTCAACATTCCTTCGCAAACTTAGCTTCTATAAATATTGAGTGCTCACATGACTTTTGTTATACTTGATGGGAAAACTTCAAGACTTCTTCGAAAAATTTTCCCTGATTTTTCTAGATCATCTTGAGGGCCTGTGGGTTTCGATTTATACGTGTCACAAATGAAAAATCCAGTTTAAAATTTCTTGAACCTTTTTCGAATGATATTCTTGGCGAATTTTAGCCGGTGAGGTATTTGAAATTCCGAATGCCTACTATTCCCGAATATTTATTCAAAATATTTGAAACAATGACAAAGAATATTGAGAGAATTTCCAAAAGTGATAGATGAGAAGTGCCCACACAGAACTGCCTTTATGGCCTAAGTTTATATTGTTGCTGAATGGCTTATTGGTGGTTTCTGGTACTGTACTTTACAATCACAAGTAATCTGACGGATGATTTTGATCTGAATGGGCCTATTGAAAGGGGCATACTTTCTCTAGGGGTGGGGCGTTCGGCCCTAAACTTCCACTGTAGCAAGAAGAAGCTATGAGCTCAGTAGTCATGCCAGAAATGGAGCAATTTCTGTATCTTGGAGGCAAGTTAATAGGGTCAGGCGCAACCCCTCAAAGCTCAGGCAGCCTGACCTTTTGAGGGATTGCGCTTGACCCAATTAACTTTATCACCAAAAAAGATTTTGCACCTTAGTTTTATATGATTCGCTAGCATAAGCCCCGATAATTTTACAATAGGTATTTAACAGTGGCGTACCAAGGGGGGACGCCGACCCCCCCCCCCCCCCCAGAACGGGTCGCGTAATTTTTGAAAGTTACATACATGGGTTATAAAACTGTGCAAATGACTTGTCTGTACTTGTAAAAAATCAAAATAATTTTTAAAATTTTTAATAAATTCATTTTAGCCTTATAAAAAAGTTTTTCGGGGGCGTGTTCTGTGCCCGCGAAAATTTTAGGGAGCATACCCAAAAAATTTTCGAAGTGCGTGACTTCAGCCAAGCACCTTCATCAGAAAAATTTTTTTGTCGCCCCCCCCCCCCCCCTCCCCGAGCCGAAATCCTGGGTACGCCACTGGTATTTAAGCTTACCTTGACTTCTTCCAGCTTTGTGGTGATCGGTGGAGTTGAAGCACTCGAGGAAGCCATGGATTTTTTTGAACAGATTCGCTTCTTGTTTACGAACCCCCCCCCCCCTGTTCTCACTCCCAATACGACCCCATGTTGGCGAGCCTGACCCCACGCTCAACTCCGGTTACAACTATCAAACTTGTAAAAGTCAATTCATCCCTTCATTCTTTTCCAGTACTGTTTTCGTGTGCAGTTGCACAACAGTGATCGGAGATGTTTCAATCGCTGGAACAAGGCCAAATTTGGCGACCAACGCTCGGCGTCATTGTTCCAAATCGGCCAAGTGAAGTATCCGACGAGAAATCCTCTCGAGGATATCTCCTGAGTGTTTCACCCTCATCTTTGGTCCCGGCTTCAGTATGACCATTGGCTGAATTCTGGCAGAAAGGTGTCAGCTTGCCGCCACCAAGGCGTTATTTGCACAATGCTGACAGCTTGTGCTGTCCATTTGGCGGCAGCCTTGCTAAGAAGAGAAGAAGGAGTGACCATTTAAAGCCACAGGGAATGCGGATATGCGTGGTCGGACATCTTCATCAATGTTTCGCTTGCGTATGCGTACATGTGTCGAGCGTATGATACTCAGCCGACGAACACTTGCTATCCGCTATCGATCGCAGAGGCGGCGTGCGGGTGTGCGGCAGGACAACGCGGGTCGTCGACGAGCCCGGTCGAGGTAGCGGTTCGAGCGCCAGACGACGTCGTCGCCACACTGCTTCAGATGAGCAAAACCGAGTAAGTTCGTCTACGCCGCCATCGCCGTCGAGCGTCTCTGCGACTGCGCGGCGCGTGTTTGTGTAGAAATGGCTCACTCGCCCGGCTTTGTTTGCACAACGACGGCGGGGAGGGTAGCGCGACCCTCCCAGCCGTCGCGCGACCCTTCTCAATCCGCGCACACCATTCCGCCTGTATAACCCGCGCTTATGACTGAGCTGGCTGAACCTCGCTTTCCGCGTTCGCGGATTCACCATGGGGGGTAAGTTCTGTTATGACCTTTTTTGGCATCTATCATTTTTCTTCCATAATTTTTGTGAGTTTGTCCATTTTGCGTACGCCCCTTCAATCGCATTCAGATTTGCGAATCAAGCCTAGAATATACACTAGGAAGTGCTAACTCTCATTCAAATGGGGATCACACTGCCAACAGTCCTGTTTTATCCGCGCATTTGTGTTGGTGTGCAATTGCACATACTACCATCCAAATGTCTGGACTATAAATGTTTCGTTGTGCTTTTGATCTCACATTAATTGTGATTTTCATCGAAGAAAACAGTCACGTGGCATCATCTCACTTTTACCACTTTCTAATGATTTAATATATATTTTCCACTATTACAACCGCTTCTTGATCACTCGATGTCATTTCGACAAATTGACTTTGAAGTCAGCACTTTCGGTGTTCTTGAATTGAATCTCTACAAAACGTTTGCGAATTGAACACTTCAGTTTACTTTACAGCTTTATGCAAACACGACTTTATCAGCACATGAATCTCCGCAGATCTTTCACTTAACTTTCCTTCATCATCTCTGTCAATTTTTCTATCTCTGTATTTTGTCATTGTACGGACTGAGGCTAAGCCGAATAACACCTTGGACTTATCCAATTTTGCAGTTTGGAAATACAAAAAACTGGTCGAGAACCAAGCGACTAGTTTCGTTTTGCCATCTATCATACATTCCTTCATCTCTTCAAACCAGTTTTGCTGCTCTCGTGATTATGCTTTACCTTCGACCGATGAACACCTGCCTTTTGACACCAAACTTTGATAAATATGTCTCTTCAAAGCAATCCTTCGTGCCAGCATGCACATTTTTTACGTTTTCGAGGTGGTGAATGTTTGATTTTTCGTTCACTTCTTCTACTGTAAAGTACCCTCTGTTCCGCAGAAACCTCACCTTTGTAAAGTGTCGTATTTCTTCTTACTTTCTATGTTTTTTGCACTAACAATTGTTGAGTAGGAATGAACTTAGAAGTATTGCAAGAGATTCTGTCCTTGCAAATTGCCGCGATCGCTGCAAACTTTTTAGAGTATGCCCGAAGCTTGAGTTTTTATGCGCTTCTGTAGTTGTCTCACGTAAGCTACAAAAAACACAGTCTTTAACTGTACTTCCTTCCTTTTTCTGTGGGCTTTGCTCGCACTCGTTATTTTTCGGAAACATTGTTTGCATGCCTGAATTACTGTAATCGTATCAAATTAGCCGCTGTGCAAATAGCATGCAAAAGCAGTCAGAGAAAAAACATCTCTGCTTCCTGCTGCAGTTATTCGCTTCGCCGCTTCTTTTTCATACAGTGGTTTTCTAAGTCAGTCATTGCTTTGCAAAATTGTTCAAGGGGAAATCAGGAGCACATATAGAGCGCGGCGAAGGACATTCCATTTTTTTTTCTTTTGAGCTAAACCTTATCAGCATTTGCGCCTAAAACTTTTTATCGCACAAAGTGGAACTTCTCGGCCACGAGTTAATCAGGAGTGAGGGGGGGGGGGATTTGCTTGGGCAATGATTCAATTGGGGCTGAGTCCTCCAGAGCATTATCTAGATAAGACAAGAAGTACGGGTAGGGACCCATCATACTTCGCCGAGAAAAGCCAAAAAGCGTCCGAAAAAGCCCAAAAAAGCCGGAAAAAGCCCCAAAGAGCCGGAACGCAGAATCAACATTTGGTGGAATTCTGACATTATTTTAATGTTTAGACGTCAGAAAATGAAGCAGAAAGACTCGGTTGCGAACTCACACATATGCCTTAGCTCAAAACGGAAGGGGAGTATCGGCTTTTTCGGGCTTTTCTGGGTTTTTTCGGGCTTTTTTCGGCGAAGTATGACGGGTCCTGTAGACAATTGGGGACAGGAAATCCTATAAATCAACAGTATTTCGGGACAAAACGCGACGCTTTAATCTTGTATATTGCGTGGAGTGCTCAAATTTGAGACAAAGCGATTTTTAACGCAGCTCATGATTTACTAATTATTAAGCAACGAAATTCTTCACGTGCAGCTTTGTAGTTACTAATGCTTCTGTATAGTCGTTCAGTTGTGAAACTACCGCTTTTCAGCTACTACTCAGAGGAGAAGACCTTCAGCGCTCCTGTCAAGGGCAGGAATCCGCCGATCTCACAGACGAAGTTAAATGCAAGAGGGTTGAAGGTAATGAATCTCTCTTACCGGTTCTTCCTCTTATTTTTCTGCTCTCACGCTTATTTTGTCTTGGCGTTTTGAGTTGGTAATCAAGAATGTTTGAAAGTGTTAAGATTAATTGGCTTAGATAAAGTCTTGGTAGTATATGCAAACTTACATGAAAAGTTTTTACCACTAATTTGTGCTTCTGATCGCGGGTTATTTTGTTCCAGAACAGCTGATTTATATTTCTGAAGTAGTTCAAGCTGCTTTCATAGAATGAGATGTTGTTTACTTTATTTTAAAGTTTTTTTTAGAGTATCACTTTTTTTCACATGCAAAAACATCTCTGTTAAAATGGAAGTTGTAACCAATTTGTATTTGAATGATAAGGATAAATTATTTTTTTCCTGATGAGATTATTGCAGACGAATCTCATTATGTTTTGATGTTACAGGATTTGGATGATCATGATATCGATGGTTTGCTTTCCAACCTAAGCATAGATGAGCTTGAAGACCTCAACAATGACTTCGATCCTGATGTAAGTTTGCCGCTTTATTTCATCTTTTTGGCCTTTGTTGCACAACCAGTTCAACACCAAGATATGTTGTGAGCTGATGCAAATTCTTTTGATTCATTTGATCTCGCATTCATTCTGTTTTCACGATAGATGGTAGATATCGGCGTTGTCTACAGCCTTATATCACTTATCGTGGTGCTAGATCAATTTAAAAAATATGGAGGGGGGAGTAAACTGCATGGAACAGATTATGTTTACAAGCATTACATTCGCTGCTTTCTAAGCGCTTTCGTTACTATATCAATCTTTTTGTGCTTAGAAGTCAATAAGCTTTAGCAAGAGTCTGTTTCCCTACGTGAAAATTTCCAGTTTGCTATGCAAATTCTTGTTGAGCGACGTTTTAACGCAAGTTTGCGTGAAATGCAGATTTGGAACTAGTGGCGACTGTCGAATCCGGCTAAGCTTAACAATCTTGTAGTGTTTACCAGAAGTTTTTTGGTAGGGTGAGACTGGCACTGACGAGAGTCCGTTGAAATTTTGTTTGAATAACTTTGAGTTTCATCAGCTGTTTCCGAGTTTGCGGCCGATGTCATGTGATGGATTGAGGTGCCGTCTGTATGTGATTATGTAGTTTCCATGCACCAAACTTAAGCATCAAATTTGCATGCTATCGAACCCATTGATCGATGGTGCATGATCGGCGCAGTTTGCTCAGCGCGTTAGATTTGAGAAATGTAAACAGAACACTCGCCACTAATGGTGTCATAGAACCGACTCGTTGAATTGCAGCATTGATCAAACATAGAATTAAGTACGGGAATATTTTTCTTGAACTCAGAATCTTTGAGATGTAATGAGAATCTGGCATGGTAGTGGCTGTTACCTGTGTTGTGGCTTTTAGAAATATTTGAGGCTGTTTCTAAAGATCTCGAAAAAGCTGTTGTGTGGTGTAAGAAATCTAAATATGTGCGAGTGATTATTTTATTTGATTATTCACAAAATCCAAGCTCAAGAACGAGAAATCTTTTAACGTATCATTTCTTGCAAATTTGCAAAGCAAGACTACTAAATCCGTTCATGACAGTTTTTTCCATATAAGATTTTGACTAAACCTAACCCCAACCCGGTTTGAATCTTTTTTATTGCTGCAGAATTCCGTGCCTGATGTTTATACTGGTTTCTGGTTTAGTTTACTTCTCAATATATCCATTCAGAATTCGATGTTGCCACCATCACAGCGCTGCAAAGATCAAACCACAAAAACTCCTACAGGACCATTCAAACGAGATCATCTGCTAAAATATCTTGAAGACCAAGCGAAGAGTGAAAAAGACTGGGAAGATGTTGTACCGTTCTCTCCTGGAATTAAAAGAGGTACCCGTGAAAGTTTCGTTCTTTTGCTAGCATTTATAAATGTTCTTCTAGGCAAAGTTTGGGAAGGAGATAGCGGACGTAACTCTGCGGAAGGTGATACCCGAGATTCGGGTGTCGCTGGCATGGAAATGCCGATCGAGTTAGACTTGGATGATGAAGAAGAAGAATATGAAGCAGCCCTTGATCACGCACCTGAACGAGACCTCGTAGATTTAGCAGGAATTCTTGGTAAGTCGATGTTCTTCAAAATATAATAAATTATAAATTAACCGTTTGTTTCTAGGCATGCACAATATATTGAACCAGCCACAATATTATAATGCACTGAAAGGAAGAGGCCAGGATGACTCGACGGGTACTACTTTTGCGGGTATTATCCGAGCCTATGAGCCAAAAGAAATGCCAGATGAACCGGATAACGAAACAGATGTTGATGAATGCATCAAGTAAGCCAAAATCTCACCAGTTTCCATTATGAAATGGACGTTTTTCTAGGCGCTTAGAAGAAGATGATGAGGACATGAGGGAAGTAAATATTAACAATATGAAGCGGGTGTCAAAGGTTTGTGATTTACTTACCTTTCCCGAATTCTTTTTTTTTTTCATTTTTATTCGCATGGATTATCTATGTTGCGTTTACAGGAAAGGATAAGGAAGTTAATAAGTGCTGCTTGTGCCAGTAAACATATAAACAAGTTGAGTATGGCTAACACTGCAATTTCGGATAGCGAAGCTCGGGTACGAAACTTGCTTTATTTCATACCTTCTTTTTCATTTGGTTGTTAATTTTAGGGGCTGATAGAGCTTCTCGAGACTTCACCTTCTCTGAAAGTTCTAAATATTGAATCAAATTTCATCACCCCGGAGTTGCTTGCAAAGCTTCTTCGAGCTACCCTCGTTACCCAATGCTTGACAGAGTTCCGTGCAGAAAACCAGGTAATTAAAAGTATTCCTCTGTTTTTTTTTGACAAGCACTATAATGTCTTCTCCTCCGAAGCTTGGTTGTTTCCGTCAAAACTCCAGTATTTTTTGGCTTTTTTTTCGCTTCATTTTGTTAACAGCAGTTTTACCTCATGCTAATAGGTACTGTTTGCTGGTGCGATAAATCTGGTTTTCAAGCAATCCCATCATTTTTCTTTGCGGAAGCTTGATTACTTCACTTGTTGATCGCCATTGCTTCACGCAATGGGCACTTACTTTGACTAGTGTTTTTCCCATCCTTGAAAGCTCAAATTCATTGTTGCTTTTGTAACAAATTTCTTTTAATTGATTGGAACTGGGCAATCGCGTCACTTATTTTAGTTTTATTTTTTTTACATTTGATTCCCTCGAAATCTGTAGTTCTTATCAGTTGCTGCTCAGTTGTTGTTAATGTTGAAGAAATTGATCCGGTTCCAACACCTGACGTAATTTCTGTCACGTCATTAGGTGATCTATTGGAACTAAAGCGTGAGTTTTGTCAGGGATGATGCGTGCTAGGAGCAGAACGCACTTTTACTGCATGAATGCCTCAGTGCAGTTTTTAAGTGCAGTATATATTTTGAAATGTACTTGTCTTCACGCTGTGGTGCAGTTGTTTTTATTGTGCCCTTCACTCGGAAGATTTCTTATGGTTTTTAGTCCATTGCAAGATGAGCATTCCGATCTACCTCAATTGAAAGACCATTTCGTGCTTGTGAAGTAGCTAGTTCGTATCAAAAATCATTCTTATTGACTTACAGTCTATCCAATATTAACCGAGATCTGAAGCTCAACCGCTTTCTGTTTTAGCGCCAGGCGGTGTTGGGAAATCAGATTGAAATGGATATGATGTTATCGGTTGAAGAGAATCAGTCACTCCTCCGAGTTGGTGTCGCATTCCAGTCTATGGAAGCGCGTCACAGAGTGTCAGAAGCTTTGGAAAAGAATTATGAACGATGTAAGTTCTTTTCGCTTCTTTTTCAAAGTTTTAGACTCTACAGTTTTTTTTTTACTTTCATCATATTTTGCTTTTCTTTTGCAGTGAGGTTACGGCGTTTGGGAAAATCGATGGAGGAGGAGGACTAGGTTGCTAACTTACCACAGCTGTATCCATTCAACGAAAGAATTCAAATTAATATGATCTGCCACAGGCCTTCTCCTTTCATGTAGTTGTCTGCCTTCACGTGTACATTAGCCGAGCATAGATATCAAGCAGTTCCCCGTGTCACATCTGGCCCTTCTAGATGTTGTTATCTTCAGCAGTTTGTGATCAGGTTTGGCTGCTGATTTATGTCTACTCCATCACCCTCAAAGCTTTACACTATCTTAGTAAACTGTAGAATGCCAGAGCTTCCGCTATTTTCTCACCTGAAACTTTGTATTTTTTTTTCAACTTTGTTGATTGATGTTATGTGCAATTCGTTCAAAGTCAAATGTGATGTTTCTTTATTATTTTTTGGACTGTGAACGAAGCAATTTTCCCAGTCTTAGTGATGCTTGCAGAGTATAAATCTACGCCGTCCTTTTATCATTGTTTACGCTGCACTGGATTTTATGATGTTCAAAGTCGTTCACATGCAGTCGTTCGTGAGGCAAATAGCTTTTGCATGGCTTATTCAAATCGTATGATCTTTGATCGTCTCCCAAGTGATTTGGAGTTTTCGTTTTGGTATGCAACACAAGTAGAAGAGATTGTTGTTACATTATGTATGAACAATCCGGCGTTTCGGGCAGCTGATTTCGCTACAAGGGGTTTCGGATTACTTGTTGCACATAGTATACAAGAACACTAGTATAGGGACAAAGCAACGGGTACTGCCGATAGGGCGCCACTTCATGGGCAACTGGTCCTTTCGGATATGCTGTTGCGAGCTATGTAAGGACCAGTAGCGCGGGGCGGAGCTCAATGACGGTGTTTGCTGTTCGCAACAATAGTGTCCAGTTCCAGTGACCAATTCGGTTAATATCGTAGAGACTTTGCATATCTGCCGTAATCCTAAAAGATGTTACGATACTATAATGCGGAATTATGCTATCTTTATAGTGAAGTGGGACTCCCGCTCAATTTTACCTAAAAAATCAAACCGTGTAAGCTGATCTCGGATGTCAGCTGATGATCATTACAAGAGTTAGAGCGGATCTCTTGGGCAGCAAAAATTGCCATTGTGTAATTTTCAGTGCGACATCTACATTTAATGACATCAAACACTTGTACTTTGTATGCGGTGGCAATATTTATTCATCGACTAATCAGCCACACATCATGTCGCAAGTATTTTCGTACCCCTTGGGGGGGGGGTGGGAATGTTAGATGTTCTGGACATAAGAAGCCACAAGAATTGTATTTCAATGGACAAGTTTGTTGATTATCATGCCGTACAGGTTGGTCTAGTGGCGGCACACCTATTTCGCTTACACTTCACGTAAAAGAGGCATAAATAATGTGCTTTCGTGTATGGTTGTCAAAAATGAACCTCTAGAAATTTTCTGTCGTGTGGCATTTATTGATAGGTATTGTCTGCCACGCCCCTATTTAATCGCTTTTAAACCCTCCTCCATCGCAATTTTTGTTTAACAGCATAATCTCGTGTAAAACAAAAGATTTTGAATCAGCTCACAAGTAGATTATCTTGTGAAGCTTACACAATTTTAAGGAAATAAAATTCTTATCAAGGAAGTTATTTTGTAAAGCTTGAAGAATATCTGCAAAATTTAGGAGTGTTTTTGATTTTTTTGCAAGCGTAGACAGTTGTTTGTGGTTTTTTGGCCACCAGACGACTTTGAAAATCCCGTAATTGATGCAAAATTCACAAGCCCTTTACCTCTACTTCCCCTCTATGCCCCGCCCCTTAGCCCAGCATATACCACTGGTACGTACCTAGCACAAACTATGTAAAAATATCTTGATTTGAGTGGTGCACACAACCAAAGCATAGTTATCGTGTGTTTTTGAGAGTAAAGCACTTGAGGGTCTGTCCACAGCCGCTCTCATTTATCTTAATGTTACCCGCGGAAAGATTTCTCAAAAATGATGAAGAAAATTTGAAAAATTACTTCTATATTAAATCAGCCCTTTGCACACGTGTGCAACTGAATTTTCCGATCTGTGGTCAAGCGTCAACTTCGTTGTTTATTTGAATGATGGCTTGTGTATCACATTTCGCTCAACGCTCATGCTCGCAATTCTTCACTTCGAAATATGCGAATTGTGGGAAATTCGCCGGTGACGGCGATTTCTCCCAGTCGCGCTACGCGGCGATGGGTAATCGCCGCTCAGCTGGGTAATCTCTTCCTGCTCATTGTACTGTATCTTCACGCCTACATCACTTTTGTTGTGGGTTACGGTATTTTTGGCGTTGTACTTGATGCGTGTAATTTTGTGTATTTACAGACTCTCGAATGTGACGTGCTGGGAGAGGAACCAGTAAGAGATGAGACGATAACGATACGAACCAAAAGATCGTCAGCTAAAAGACAAACATTGCCGTTAGAAGTCGAGGAGTATACCATTATTCTAGGCCAGAATACTTTGATACCAGTAAGGGTAACCTTTGAATATCTCTATATATATAAAACTCAAAGTGTGTTTGTCTGTTAATAAGTATGTTTTTTATACAAATCTTTCTGAGTGGACTAAATGAGCTGAAACTTTGCACACTTATGTTTTGGACCCCGGCGCAGAACATAGGCTACTTTTCGCGGCGATTTACTAGATCCTTCTATTGATTTGTTGATTTGTTTACTTACATCTGGGAAAATGAGGCTTGACATGCTCAAACCAATCATTTCGCCATGATCATGTAGTCAAAGGATGGTAAAGCTCATTTTAATCTCAATGTCGGAAAGATGCGGGCATTTCGTTTCAAAGCCCTTTTTGCGTAGAAGAAGCTCAAAAACGTAAGTATGGGTAACTTCTTCTTAGCTAAACTGGAGACCCGAGTGAAACCGGGACCGCCGGCTAGTTGATTAATAATCGTAAAAATCGCATTTTACCGCCAGTATTAAGTTTTGAAGCCTCATAGAGCTATGTTAATTTTTTCCAGCGAAAAAAAAATTGCCGTAAAATTCTCATCAAACAGTTGTTTACTGGAAATTATGTTTATTTCCAAGAAGTGGTGAAAATCTGTTTTGCTGCACATAAAACGCTCTTTTCCAGAAAACGTTAATTTCCAGAAAAACGTGCTGGAACGATCATGTGCACGTATTCATCGGCATTGCTCGGATGCTGGTATGAAATTAATGGGTTTTCAAGGTGCCCGGGGAGATCCTGGATCCCAGGGACCGGTGGGACCACCGGGTAGGGTCGTGCTCTTGGCTTCACTATAATTGTTATCCTATAAATTTTTTAGGGAAACGAGGTCCCGTAGGAAATGTTGGTCCAAGTGGTCTGGTAGGAGATGCTGGAGAAATTGGGCCACCAGGGAAGGATGGTAAAGATTATAATTGTGTGGCCATTTGTTTGGGGAATTTTCTCGACTTCTCCGGGCAAGCCTTTTTTGACCATAGACCTTTTTTACTTTGTAAGGGATTCGTCTCCTGTAATTTAATATCAAATTCACCATAATAATACATCAAATGTTGATTCCAATTAAATTTGAAATCTTTCAAATGGGCAATTTCCAGCTGCAGATTTGCACCATTCTGTCTAAGTAATTCATTTCCTAACAAACTTTCCAAAATTTTTATTGAAAAAAGTCTTGCATGTTTATGTTTCGTTTCAGGTCGATGCAATTGCTCTTTCCCAGATATGTACGTTCATCGAGTGCCAATTCCAGGTCCACCTGTTATTCAGGTATAAGGAGCTAAACTCTTTCAGGACTAGACTTAGATTTCTTTCCAGGTTGAAGAGAAAATGGTGCCAGTTCCAGTTGTCGTAGTGAAGGAGGTAGAAGTTACAAAACTGGTCCCATTTGAACCAACACCACCTGGTTTTGCGCCTCCACCTGGATGGTCTCCGGGCATGCCAAAACCTGATCTGAGTAAAACAAGAAAACTACCCAGGTAAACACTAGCAATACCTTCTAATGGATTTCTGTAGAAAAAGATATCTTTGCAGATTTTCCACAATCACTACAACACCTACTCCACCGCCCACAAAAAGGCGAAAAACCACGACACCAAAATATTTCGTTCCTCCGGTTTACAGTGGGTTTATAAACCACTAAATGGCGGTAATGAGCTCTTCTTTGAAGATAAGGTTAAACAGAAGTTTTTGTAACTGGCGGCCACAAAATTTTTTACTTAGCCGAGTTTCATGGGATTTGGTAAGACTTAAATTGTTTTACAGCAGTTCACGCATCCATTGAATATTTGGGAACATATTAGAGTTGAATGTTCAGGTGAAAATGGCACACTGCTGTTCGGAAACTTCACCGATGAATGGGGTAACTACACAAATTTCACCACTCCGGAACCATACACTGGACCACCTACACTGGGATACAACAGGAGAGGTATAATACCTTACTGGTCAGAGAAGATTTTCAAGTTCGAATCTTCCAGAGTGCATGCTGGCTGCTGTGGGAATTCCAGTACTTCATGCAGAATCGCAGTATGGTCAGGTATGGAACCTATCCGATCATTAGTTATAAACCTTTAGACTTCTTATTATTGCACTCTGGATTCACGGATTTTCTTTTCTGTATAAAAAATGGATTTTGCAAGTGCTAAACTGCCACCACAAAATCTATGCATGTGGTCATATCATGGCTGAAAGGAGCAAGGAAGATTAGCCTTCTATCACCTTCCTCGTGATACAGATTGCAAAACGCTTTTAGGAATGAGAAACATAGCATTTGATTTTTGCTATAAATAGAAAATGTTTGGCAGTGCCTCCCTATCACTCCCAGCGACAAAAAAACATTTGCTACGTTTTTGTTTATTACACCTTTAATGTCACCTTGACCAAAAGAATCTGATTGAAAATTGAATCTTATTTATTGCATACCATATCTATACAGATGAAAAATTTGTACTCATAGTCTTACTGTCAGACTTATTAGTACTGTAACATGCTCACTACTTTCTGCTTGATCGCCATATGTGGTAGAAATTTCAGCACAACCGAATCTTTATATTAAGGTAGGCTCATGGATGCGCGATGCGCATCCTCAATCCGATAGCATGGCTGAAAAACGTTGGGTAACAGATGGCTATGCTTCGCCGGTGCTTTACGAGTATGAGAACGAGCGGCAAATGATGAACAAAGTTCAAAAGATCAAGTGGGGGAACTTCAGTGCTTAACCTCGTAATTCGTGAACGCTTTAGCTTTTAGGTACTATGTAGACTACCTAGCATCTGGAACAGGTAATTTGATCTATAATGGATCATATTACTATCACAAGCATGGAACAACATCTTTAGTTCGGTAAGTTGTAATAGTCAATCGTGCGCAGTAGTTTTTTCTTTGAGGAGGGATTTCAGTTACGACCTAGAAACAACAGACCAGATAGAATCAGAACTTGGTGATATTGCTCACAAAGACTGTGGACGCCTACCTGATCATACCTTTGAGGTACATCGCAACTTTATTTATGTCTGAAAGAATGTCAAGGCAAATCTGTTCATCTGGAATTCCCTTGGATATTGACTGAGAGGGTTCAACTGTACCATTATTGAAGCGACAGCTCATGTGATTCATTTGTAGCCGAGATCGCCCGGACCGTAATCGTTTCAGGTGGGCCAATCAGCAAACCGTATCCAGGACGCTGATTGGTCCGCTCAAAAGACTAAATTACGATATGAACTGAATCAAAATTGATTTTCATCATTTTTAGGATTGCAACGAAACCGAACGACATCCCTGGCTTTATAATCGCCCTCATAACTATGTGGACTTTGCTGTGGATGAAAATGGACTATGGGTTATTTATATGCGCCCCGATAGTGACTTCCTCTACGTGAGCAAGATCGAGCCGGTTAGTTTAGACATTTTTCTTTTATCATAGTCCATTTGATTTATTTATCGGTGCCATTTTTCGGTATCTAAATGAGTTTTTTCAGGACTTCTACATCGTGGATTCGTGGGAAATCCCTGATGTAAATGCTACTGAAGTGGCTGATGCATTCATAATGTGCGGGGTACTGTATGGTCTACAAAATGCCACCACGCGTGACTCACGGATTAGCTTTGCCTACGATCTGTACAGGTACGTATAGCACTATAATAATAACACTTCTTCCAAATTATTTCTTTTCTCTTACGGAAAGAAGCTGTCCTCATTTTTCCTCTCTCTGCTCACCCACCTCTAATTTTATAGTCTTTACGCATTTTACGCCAATTCTACCATCTTTTGAGGTACCAGTAAAGATGATTGCAGCAAAAATCAAGACCTGGTGTAGGCGGAGTTTGCTCGGAAAGAGGCGTGGTTTGTGCAGATGCCTTCAGTTCTGAGAAATTTTGACAAACGAGTGCAAAGAATGCATAATATGCCTCTCGAGGAACTCGAATATTGTATGCGATTATGCGCAGTGTGCAATCTTCAGATCCTAAACTTCTTTTGAAAATCTATAAAACATTTGTTCTGCCAGTTGTGGAGTATTGCAGCTTTGTATGGAACCCTACTTTGAAAAAAGATGTTGATAAAATTGAAAAAATTCAAAGAATATTTACTAAGATTGTTTTCTATCGCGCATTTCCCAATCCGAATTACCCTTTCGCCTTGCCAAACTACACAACCAGAATTCGCAAGTTAGGTCTCAAAACTCTTTTCTACAGAAGGTTGTTAGCAGATACTATTATGGCCTTCAAAGTTCTGCGAGCCGAGGTGGGTTTGAAACCCAGTAAATACTGGGTTTTCCAACCTATCAGTGAACGCAGGGCCTCTTTTAACCTGGTTGTTTCTAGGTTTGGAAGGCACAACATCTCATTGCAACGCAACAACTTCTTTTACCGAGCAGCTTCGATCTTGAATAAACTTCCACCACCATTCTTAGCTTTAAATTCAGTGGCTCAATTGAAAACGGCGTTGAAGAAAGTAGATTTATTGCAGTTAATGGGAATTGATGATGTGAAGTAATTTTTTTTTAGAATTATTTTGCCATCCTTTCTTTGGCATGATCCGCTGCATTCTTTCGATGTTATCAATCGGTACTTTGGCAGCATGGGCCTCAAACGGTTTCCTTTTTTGCTTTTTTTGTCCTGTCTAGCTCTGTTAGTCTCATTGTACTTTCAAAAATTCACTCATCCTTCCTCGGGGCTTTAACCAGCTAGCTTCCGCCCGTAGGCTCGCTGGCCTCCACAAAAGAGGGACTTTAATTTTTGAAAGACAGTGAGACTAACAGTTTTAATATGCTATACACCAGAGTAACAACTCTGGCCACTCCTTACCCAAAGATAATCCCAGGGACAAGTTTTGGTGCCTTAGTTTCTCGGTGCTTCCTGCAGGGGACATGCCAACGATTGGTTCATACGTGTTTTTTTTTTCATGTGTGTTTGATTAACCATGTGATGGTGATATAGTGTGTTTGTTACTAACCGCTCCGATCAGGATCAAAGAGCACTTTTTGGTGCATTTAAATAAATAAATAAATAAATAAATAATAATGCATCTGCAACTTTTTATTCAGCTACTGTATTCTAATTACATAATCTATGGAAATGTCAGTATCTATAAAAGAAAAATCTAGGGACGGGTAGGAAGTAGCCAAAGGCCCCAAAAAGTATGTTATAAAATAGGTGATTTATAGTACAACATTTTGCGAGCAATGTATTACTTTTTGAGAATGTCTGGTGAATAAAAAACTCCCATTGCCATTTATAGGAATGAGACGATTCCGGGACAAGTGGCATGGTACAACCCGTACCAAGGTCTTACGATGCTGCACTACAATCCCGTAGACAGTCGATTGTACTTCTTCGACGACCGTCGTCTACTTAGTGTCAATGTACGCATGGATGAAGAAGAGCCTTACTATGATGAATAATGAATAATGGATATTGTATAAAAGTGGTGCAAATGTGTAGGCATTGATTTCACTTTCTAAAAGTTCTTTCTACACTTATTGCGGTTTACTGAATGAATTTTATTGGTTCCGTGAAGTTCTGCCTGCAAAGAAAGGACACATCGTCGTTGCTGGGCATGCGGAATTACTTACGACCGGCCGCCATAGAAATGTGTTTTTTTACGTCCACGGCGCATCCACTGAAAAGGTCTCAGCCAAGGTTACCATGGTTGGGTGCAGCCAAAAACGCGTCTCGTATCGCTCCGCCCTATTTGAGTTCGTAAAGTGCGGATATGCATCGCGATCGCGATGCATATCGCATCGCACAGCTGCACTTATCGTGCAGATGGCATTAATGAACGGCTGGCTTTTTTCCAAGTCCTTGGAAACGAGTCATTGCATTTTATTTAGCTTTTGCAGCTGAATCACGGCTACGCTTTCATCTTTTGCTCCTCATTAGACTAAACAAATTTGTCAGAATACTAGGCTTATTTTTCCTTTTGGAAGATTTTCACCTTATAACGCGTAAATTTCATCAGAATCTCATCACTAGGTCATTATCATGTAGCGAAAACTATTTTATTGAACACATACCATTTTTAATCAAAAATATTATTCATCTTCCAGTTTCCCAACATGAGCTCTTCTTTCACTCCCCATATTCTACTCAAAAATAACATTTAGCTAAATGTTACTGCGAAACGATGGCGCAGAAGCAGTATTAGTTGAGCAGGCACGAACGCGATGCGCGCGTCTCACATGTAAGCCTTGCGTCTAACGCGTTCTGTTGCTGAAAAAGCCGCGTTCTCCCCTAAAGTTACTGTGCCTTCGTCATGCAGCACCTATATGTATCTACAGAACTAATTTTCACTAAAAACCTATAAAACAAGGTTTCATTGACCTACATTAACAAAATTGTTATATCATGTCTTCAGTACAGACTCGACTTTTCTAGCAAACCCTTGATACTACCAAAAGCTTCCTTTATATACTAGCTTGCTTGTATCAACATTTCTCACTTTATGTTGCTTTTCGGGGGGTGGAGGGATGGGGTAGGGGGAGGGGAAGGGAATACAGATCAATGATCGTAATCATAAGTTAAGTTGTTCCTTAACTCATAGATTCCACAGCTTTACCCTACTTTACTACGGTCTCTGAAAATTGGGTCACATGTAGCTCCTGTACCTTACGAAAAGTCAGAAGTACTAAACAGATTCTGGAGTAACCACAATTCAGCTCAGAATGTCAGTAAAAGATGTTGCTTTCTGATTTCCTCCTAAATAAGCTTGCAACTTCTAGAAGTAAAACAGGATCAAATCAGTCAGAAAACTGCCACTATCATTCGGGCGCTGCCTTGGAAACAACCAATATCTCAATAGAGTTGATTTATTGCTGAAAGCATGAACGCTGTTAGATTAGTAGATTGCTGTGGTACAAGAAGTGCTTCTTTCACCGCATGGCCTCAATGATTCTATCTATTCAAAACATCGCAAACTCCGATCTCGTCTTTTGAAGTTTCGCGCATAATTTGCGTTTTCTCGCAGATTAAAATACGCTTTCTTTGATCTAATGTTCCAAAAAAAATCATTTGAAACTAAACTCTACAGCAGAAACTACAAACCATGAACAGTAAAGGTGCATCGAACTAATGAAGATCTCCTATTTTCCATAGCTGTTTCGAATTCTTAGTTCTAATTCGTAGTTCATATCATACGGTATGGAAAAATATCATAATGTTGAGCCAATTTTAAACTTAGAAAATTTGCTCTTTATTAGGTCCATCTTTCAATAATCCATGCCCTTTCTGCAGAACATTTTTCTCTCTGCTATAAACATTGCTATCTTCAAACGCGCACAGTCGATAAGGTTGCATAAGCCCTTCCAAGAGCTGTGAAGGAATTAAGATAAGCTTGCAAAGTTGCTCGGGAAGACGTGGGCTTCACTCATAGATCTTTTCTTCATTTACTTATAATGCAACAAAATTTTGTGTTATTTACGACAGACTTTGCCCCAAACTTCCCCGCACATTAGTCACAATCGTAGGCACAACATTTGGTGCACTAACTTTGATGAGCACTATGTAAGCTGTAAAGCACCCAGAATCTGCTTCTTTCTTGCACTTCTCTAATGTTCATAGTTTATTCGCAGGAGTGCAGTGCTTGCATGCAAATCTACTTCGTTTATATGCAACTCATAGGAGCTCGTCTTTGCACAAGTCTAACTTTCCCTCTCTCCCTGAAACTTTTTTTGACACTCGTAATTCCATCTATTAGCTGTTTTGAAAATGCTTGAACGAACTAATCAATTTACAGAATATGCTCTTTGTTATGTATATCAAATGTAGTATTTTACAGTACATTTTAGAAAATCAGTATGAAACAAAATCAATAAGTCAAGTTTTAAAAATCGAAATTCGGAACTATTCGCAAAGACATTCATTCATACCTTCTATTAATCAGCAAAAATATGTTGTAAACCCAAAAGCAAAAATAAAATCAAATTTTACAGTACTCTAGCAATTTTAGTGACCAAAAAAAGGAAAACCACTTTTTGGGTATTTTTTCTTGCAGCTATCGTTGCTATAAGCCCTCGAAGAATTTTTGCTCGACCTGCAAAAAGCGCAAGGTTCTCTCTCTCTACCGTGTATCAAATCATAAGATTTCATTGAAGCTGGAGAGTAACAGAATTTCAAAAGTTGATGCAAAAATCATGCATCAATCTTATATATCTGTTAGGTGTATGAGCTACAATATCTTATATCTTTGAACTACTTTACTCTACTCAAATTCCATTTCCAAGCTAATTTCCTCTTCCTGGTTCTGAAAACTATTTCTTCAAGCGCTGTCTCATACTTCCACCTTGAAACGATCGTATTTGTTATTTCCAAGACTAGGCCGTCGCCTGTATGCATTGGCCAATTTTTAGTACTTGTTTTCTGAAGAAAACAGTGACACTCTTCACTGTGATGTTAACTTTACGCTAAACTTGATATTTGGAAGATTTTCGAGAAGATTTGCTATGTCCCCTAATTCTAGCTAAACTTGAACAGGCGAAAATAATAACAAAAAGTAAAAATGAAAAAAGTTTTGTTGAGCTAATAATATATCGAACTCATAGTTATCTTAGATGGACTGTGAACATTGTTCCGACAAAATCTAAATCAAGCAAAAGGACTTCGTAATACAAAAAAAGGTGCTAATCCCATCATTTTTCCTCGAACTAAAATCTGCGTCACAAAAGAAAGGCAATGTGGAAAATTTTGAACAAAAATTGTTATGCCTCACAATAACGCTGATGTCATCACTGACACACAGAATAAGAATTCAGTTCAATGGCATTTAGTGACCAAACCAGTGTAAAGTGTGAATAAGCTAGTTCTAAGCGATTGATAAGCGCTGTGTAGGTGTTCTTATCAAGGGACAATATGGACCAAAACCGGCGTAGCTGGATGATGTGTAAATAAAGAAAAGACATTTGAAACTTCAAGGATAATAAAAGGGGAATGATAGCATTGGGCTAAGACTCTCGTCTCGTTTCGTTCTAACTCTGATACTTTTACATTCTTAAAATATGAGAATTTCCGAAGGTGATAACTTTTGATGCTCTTAGCTCCGTCACGATAGATTTACCACTATAAAAGCTACTCCAATGCCAAAACATTCCATCTATAGTACTTTGCATCATCAAAAATTTCGATTTCAAATATACCTCCAGCATCTATTGCGATCTAAAGGCGCCATGATTTATCAAAAATTCACTCAGCAAACCGTTCATAGCCCCACAATCACCCCCATCTCTCTCCCACCCCTACTTCACCAATAACTCAATAAATTCAATTGTGGTTAAATGAGCTACTATACAAGAATCCATTTCCATTTGTGAATAAACAAGACAATTCTTTAAGCTCTACAAAATTTGACTCAGGGGTGAACAAATTCCTTCGGGCGCATAACTGCCAATATTCCCTTTTTGAATACCTCAAATTTGGAAGGTTGCAAAAAAGCTGATTTTGAAAAAAAATTCCACAAGAGTGGCTACCGACTCGTGGACTCCCAGTGAGGAATACGTAAGCCAATATTCTCAGTGTGGAGATCAGAGAAGTATAAATAAGAAAGCCCAGTATCTTACTTGAGACGGTAGAGATGAACCTATGCATCACATCAAGAAACATTGCCAAAATGGGATTTTCTATAAAAAGGGGCAGAATATATGACGAGAGATAAAAACGGTACCATAAACTAGAAATAAACCATAAGTGTAAGAGGTGCAAAGGGCGAATTTTGGTCTTCCAAAGAACATAGTACAAATGACTCATAGATTCTGCACCCCAAATGGACCATAGAACAACTTTTTCGACAGAAAGTACGAAACATTGAGCAACTGAGGAATAGTTGGGGTGAAGGAGGAAGGAGATCGATCGAATGCTGGACAGCGGCCGTACGCCTCGATGCGTTTCGAGGCATTTTTGCCCTCTTGACCAATGCAATTTTGTCGTTTTTATTAAACCGGGAATGTTTTTTGATAATTTCGGGTAGTAAACATAGGAAAAACTGACGAAAATACTTTTTCCCAAAAATTTGGTGAAAAAACGAACAAAAATATTTTAGTGAGAATCTTTTTCTAAGAAGGGTTTCAAAGCTTACCAGCAATCGAAAAAAATCTCCTATTTCCTCCATACTTTTTTGTTTTTTTTTCGTTCATTTTTAGCCGAAACCTCGAGATCTCTGATCAAAGCCCTAAGATCTTGACCTTCCCATTGCCTGGCATCATGTCGATGCCTTCGTTTACGCTCTAATGGAACTTTGCCATCTGCTCATTGTTTATCTTTCGAACGGCGAGTTATTGCCTTTTCTGACGAATGGTCATAATCGTTCATCCCAGCTTTGTTTATTCACACAACGGAAGTACTCACTAACTCGTACCGATCTGATGTTGGTTTGAAATTCAACAAATTTTAACTATATCTTCATTTCTGCAACTTTATACTTCGGTTTTGACTCAAGTCTTGGTTTTTATGGTGTGATTTTGTTTCTCATCAGGAATCGAATAGACCGGGGTTCTAATAATCGCTCTTATATATGGGAGTTTAAGAACAGCAAATTTTTCTAGCTTTTGAACGCTTTCAAATGCGCGCTGCTTTTTTGCATAGACGCTTTTTTGAGCATTCATGTGAAGGTATAAAAATTCTTGTTGGATCCTCCCTATCGCCCTATACAGACCCGTCTTTCTTTTTCACTCCCCTTCTGCATAAATGATTCAAACGGATGCCTTCCCTCTCCTCCTTCACCTCCGGAACTTCCGCACATGACACACGTCCAGTTGCGCGATGTCCGGTGCGCTATGAGTAATCAGACACTTTTTACATTGCTGATTTGTATGCACGGAAACCAGCTCCTTCCTTTCTGCAAGTTCCCGTTTCTCACAGTTTACAAAATGCGAGGAGAAGAGACGTGTTGTTTGTCCATTCTTCCTTTTAAAAAGAGAGTCCTAGGATGGTTGCGCGACAGTAGTGCGTAGTGTTGTAGCGTATTTCAGTAAATTAATCAATTTCAGTTTGATTTTATCATTTTTCTGTCCCGTAAGCTTCAACGATCCAAAGCTCCAGTGCAAAATTTGCCAAAGAACTCGCAGTTTTAAAATAGTCATGACTAATTTTAAGTGATTCTTTCAACATCGTTGTGAGCGGAATTTCTCGTCAAAAACTTATGCATCTATATCTCTCGCGTTGTTACGGTATAACAAATAAGTATGTATGCTTACTGAAGTCCTAACTTTGCCAATTTTTCCAGTTTTCCTTGAGAATGTATCAAAAATTCTAAATAGCGGGTGCAAACATCGCGAAGCTGATTCGCAGTATAAGTAGGGTTAGAATTAACCTATTTTCCATCTTTGGTTATCCTACACTAGATGGCTTACCCGGCTCCGCCCGGCCCTGTCAATAATATATTTGTAATCAGCATGCTCAATTACCCCCCTGTGCCAACTCCCAGCCCTGTAGCTCAAATTTTGCAAAAAATCGATAAAATCGATATCGATCGATGACAAAAAGTAGCCTATGACACCCGTCGGGGCCCGAAGTGTATGTGTGCCAAGCTTGGTCCGGATCGGTGCAGAAATGGAATTTTCTATTCGGAACATACGTACATACATACATACAAACAGACATTCAGCTTTATATAGTAAGGATTTTCAGTTTGAGATTGTACCCTCCATCGTTTCAAATGGAGCGCAGTCACCTTTACCATATTAATGTACATTTGCATAGCCTTCACTATATACAACTCAAAACTATTCTTCACCACATCTCTGGACCACGTTTGGTATCCGCTCCCACACCGTTTCAGTGCCGTGCTAGCTCCGTGCCGGAACAGTATTCGGTTCTGGATCAATACGCAGTATACGGTGAAGAATAGTTTTGACAATACGATAATTTGATCAATACGTGCCCCTAGTTGGGTCCAGCACGGTGCTGGCACGGCTCCGATACACGGTAACCTTGGAAAAATGCTAGTTAACATGAAAATTTTGCATTTTCTCCCTCAAAATGATAATAAAAAAATGTAACAGGTTGATCTGTTCAGGAAAAAACGCTAGCACTGGCAATAAATCATTTTTCAAAATCCTTTTCCGATAAAAACAGCGTTGAAAGCCATCGCGACGTCATTCCATCAAAATCTCGAAAATATTCTGCTTTGCTCTTTGATTATTCCAAATTCCATTTGTCGCATCGCATTCTAGAACAAGAAATGTTGCTGTTTTACCGGCTTTTTTCATGCATTCTCAAACATCGCCGTTATCTTTTCATCTTTTCGCTATGAATAATCTGGTTCACTTTCTTGTGTGTCTAGGAGGACTTTGTGTAGAATAACACTGCAATCTTTGCATCTGCTTTCTGCTTCAGTCTGCCTCTTTTTCTTGGTTTTGTGAACATTTCTGTTGGACATTCATAAGCTTTGTAGGATGCTTGCACTTGGACCCAAACTACCTGTTCCACATCTTTTTTTTGACGTCTCTTCAAAAAAATCTTGTGAACTGTCATTATCCTTATACATAGCTTTTAGTCGCTAAGATTTGCAACGTATCGTAATCTACATGTTCTTGATTCTTATCTCCATGCGCTGTGCTTGATCGATTCCGTAGAATACAGAATGTTTCTTGCGAACCCCGTAAATTTAGCTGGATTTTTGTTACGAAATGTTTTGATACACCTGACTAAATTTCATCTGCGCTGGATGGATAATTTAATAAATCTAAATGTGAAGTAAAAGCGAAAAGGATAGGGTCGAGCACGGAGGTGCCACAAGAAAAATTTGCTTCTCAAAAAAGACTTTTTTTTGGGGGGGGGGGAGGAGGAAGTCATAGTAATCTATTCTAAGTGAAGGAGCTTGCTGCTAATCGTATGAGAGAATATAAAAAAGTCAAGAAACAATAAAAAATAAAATATCAGAGTTATAAAATTGTTTACAAGAAGTTTGTCATATTTTTCGTGGGTCTATAACTCCGAGATTCTGCAAGACAGAAGATTGAATCTTTCATTCACCGTAGAGATGTATACTTGGCTTGGCCGACTGGCACACACGATCCTGGTAATATAAGCCAGGAAAAATTTTTTAGTTTTTGATTTGATTTTTTAGAATCAAATTGAAAATCATTTTTTTCAGATTCAAATCTTTTAATTTTTCTTGTATAACAATTTTTCTTTGATTGCTCAATTCGATGAAGCTTAGTGAAGCTTCAGTTTTGTCTAGATGTCTTCTCAAATGGATTTTTTCTCGCATTCGCGATGGCTAGACCGATTTTTTGAAGCTCCAGATTCATAAGCTTGTTGGGTGGTACATGTAAGCAATCTTGTGAAGCACGGATGTCACCGAATGGCACGAAATCAATTTTTTTTAACCAAGTAGGATGCAACTTGCTTGTCTGTGACTGGAACTGAGGGACTTTTTGTCTACTGCAAAAAATACGGGAAATGGGAGAGGCATGGAGAGATGCTGGCTAGGGTTTGGGTATTACACTAGTATAACCCCATTTTATATGTAAGGAGGTCAAATTACTGAGTAAACTAAGTTAAAACTAAGTTATTTGCATGTTCTGGTAGCTTCAGCTTCGTTCATCTTAATTCATTCGAGAAAGAAGATTCTCCACTGTTTTCGGTGATTCCGGTTTTGATAACGGAAACCATGAAACACTATTCCTTTTGTGGCAATGCTGTTCTACTTTTCTTTTTTACTTCAAAGTCTCTTCTAATATATTATCACTCATATAAATTAGTATTCATACTTCATCTCTGTTTATTAAATTGTAAATCGTTCTCAAAATCCGCTTAGATTTTTTTTGTAAAATTCGGATAGGCACAATAACCTTAATTGCAGATGTGCTATTGAGTCTTCTGATTCCATTTTTTATACCTGTAAGGACAACAATGTATCAAAAGCTTTCCGAGAAGTTTCTTACTGTCTATTGTAACTTCCTATGACCAGGCAATTCTTTCATTAACTTGGCAACCAAGAGCTCTAAAAATCTTTGATCGTTTTAGAAATCCAAAGCGTAAAGCCACAAAACATTTGGCAATTAACTGGCCATAATAACACCTTAACAACACAGAAAGGTTTGATTTCCAAATCCCAAATTTTTTCTCATGTCCAAGATGTAACACAGAAGCTGATGGTTGAACACGGACGAGCACGAGTGTTGACTAATAAAAATTGTTACTCGCAGTTTGTATTCTTCTACAGCGCAGTTTCAAAAAGCCAGAAATAGTCTTTTCATCATCTCTCGATTAGATTCTTGACACATCGTAAATCCTCTAGGTCTCCCTTTATGGATTTGCAAATATTTGCGATTTAGCTGGCATACCCAGCTTTGCTCAGTGCCATTTATACTATGATATGTTTGCCATTACTTCCCACTTCGTACAAATACTCCTGGCCACTGTTCTGATTTTTAGATCTCGCTTCCCTATACCCATTGCGTTTTAATCTATACTCACCCGCCTTGAAGGCAGCGTACATCCAAAAGTCAAGTTACCCAGTTCTCCACACCGTGTATATACAGGGCCCAGAAGAAGACCAACTGCGTTGGTCCGGTCTCCCAATGTTGCTTCTGAGCGGAGAATCCCGCCTGATTCTTCTTTCGCTCCGCCCCTTTTCTTTCACTCCGCCTCCTTCGGACGAATCCACGACAGCGTAAGCTAGACTTGCAGTTGCAGCTGCAGTTGCTCCTGCTGTTGCAAACGCAACAGCAGATCCAACAATGCAGTTGCTTCCTGCGGTCCGCCTCCTTCGACGACGAATCCACGACAGCATATGCTGCATTTGCAGTTGCAACTGCAGGCTGTCATGCAGTTGCAGCCACTCCTCCCTGGCATGCCGACGAGGTCGAGCAATTCGAAACTCGTCCTCTCTCTGAAGGAAGGGTGCCTAAGAATCGGGGTTTTTTGGGGTTTTGTAGAATTTCAATGTCATGACTGTAATCAGGGGCACGAAAAGGCCCCAGAATGACAAAAACATCGAAGGCGAAATTTTGGGTGTACGCTGCCTTCAATCAACTCGCCAGCTTAAAGGCAGCGTCCCAGCAAAATCTCGCTGTTCACTTTTCACCTTTTCGGAGGCTTTTCGCCATGAGAAATCCATATCGGGATTTTCAGCGCAGGAAAATGGCGAAAAATGAGACTTTTCGAAGCCTCCCAGGTCCGCATTCAGTGAATAACCGAAAGTATTTCGCATCCCGCCTCTATCCTTTTGAGCCCCGTCCACTTACACGTATTTTCCACTGAATGCGGACCTGAAGAGCTTCGAAAAAAGACTTTTTTATGCGCTGAAAAGCTCAGATATGGATTCCTCATGGCGGGAAGGCTCCGAAAAGGTGAAAAACTGGAAAAATGAAATTTTGCCGGGACACTGCCTTCTAAGTTTGCAAAAAATTGACAAAATCAATGATAGCATCTGATACGTTTCCGAAAATCCTTATCTTCGTAGCCATCAAGCTCACTCTTCACTCGTATTCCCAGCTTCTAGCTCGAAATTTGCGGAAAGATTGTACGTTTCAATTCGTCGAGCCTTTGCACGTCAGAAGATCAAAAGCAGCAGGCTCTTATTCTATTTATTTTTCTCGTAATATTCTCTTCGATGTAATGAAAATAAAAATAATAATGATGGCACCAAAAAGCTTGAGCAGGATGCTTATCTCCAACCTTTTTAGTGTCATCATTATTATAATATTTGTGTGCCGTCAAAATTGACCGAAATTTTTCTGATTTGAGTGAAGCTTTTTTACTGTCTTTGTTTTCGCGAATACAACCTCCAACAAACTTTTACATAAGGAATGCCACTATCAGGACAGCCCAACGAAATCACTTTGAATGCAGATTCTCTCTCAAATACGTTCAAAAAGGTAAATTTTGTAATACTTTGCTTATATCTGAAGTCAAGATTATCTTAAAGGTTGAAAAGATCACATGCGTTGGAGCGGGCTATGTGGGTGGCCCCACATGTGCTATGATTGCCCACAAATGCCCTGATATACAGGTGAACTCTTTTTTGTCAATTTTTCGTGATCAGCCACTTATGCGCTAAACTTTCCAGCTTAGGTTACGGTAGTGGACATGAACATGGAGAAGATTGAGCAGTGGAACTCGGACAAGTTGCCAATTTTTGAGGTTTGAGCAATTATGATTCTCAGACTCATTTTCAAGGTCCCATTTAGCCTGGCCTGGACGAGATCGTGTTTGCAGCTCGCGGGAAAAATTTGCATTTTGTAACGGATATTCCTAAAGCTATCCGTGAAGCAGATCTTATTTTTATATCTGTTAACACACCTACGAAAAACTATGGAAGGGGAAAGGTAATTGGTCTGCGATTTTTTGAATTTTTTTCTGAAAAAGAAACAACGATATTTGCAGGGAATGGCTCCAGATCTCAAATACGTTGAATCAGTGTCCCGTACCATCGCACAGCATGCAGTCGGACCAAAGGTTTTGACCTCTATCCAGCCATTGTTTCTTGAGAGAGGAGGGGCGCGAACCAAAAGAGGCGGGGAGGGAAACAGTTCAAAATTCGTGACTGATAATGGCGATTGCTCCGCATCCTTCCTCTCTCTCTTTTTAATTCCTTATGAAGTTATTTTGCTGGTTTTAGATCGTCGTCGAGAAAAGTACAGTACCTGTACGCGCTGCCGAGAGTATAAACGCCATACTCAGAGAAGCGCAGAAGAATGATCCCAACCTCAAATTTCAGGTAGCTTTTTCATTTTTTCGAAATTTATATATGAAATTTCTGAATTTGAAGGTTTTGTCAAACCCTGAATTTCTCGCTGAAGGCACAGCCATCAGAGACTTGTCGAACCCGGATCGCGTCCTTATTGGTGGTGAATCTTCTCCAGAAGGTAATCTTTTACATTTACTCACTGTAATTCATTGAATCACCAAAAATTTCCTCTAACATAAAATACTTTATCTGTGGCTTTTTTAAAGTTTTCATATAAAGGTTTTTAAAGGTATATTTTCCTGAAGGCACGTGAAAGAGTACTCTTGCTATTTAAGGGGCAAGCCTTTGCAAATTTCGTAGCTAGCTTTTTATTTAAAAAAAGTGTCGGGTTTTTGTAACCAAAAGAACAAAAAAAGAAGAAGTAATGCCGATTAATGAATTCGAATGGGGATGGGAGGGAAAAAGAAGCCACTAGGTGAGGGGTTTAGCGCAAGTTATGCCGTCGGAAATTTCTTATGCTTGTAATTTTCCCAAGCTTATATTATCTCCCGAAAATCAAGAGGGTTTCCGTACGGTTAAAAGCAGCGTCCAATCAATCCATGTTTTCTTATTCTGGGGTCTTCCATGCCCCTAATTACAGTTATGAAGTTCAAAATGTGCAAATCCCTCCAAAAATCCGATTATGGGAGTTCTACCCTAGGTGGGCGGAGCTTGATAGGATCTGGGCGTGGCTTGATAGCTCTTTCGCTGTTCGGTTCATTGTTTCCATTTAGAGACAAGATTAGAGGATAGATCCAACGCAGATGCCTCTTGCCTCTTTTCTGGGGCTTACATTCAGGATCGGCACTTATGGGAAGAAGTAGATTTAGCCTGGACCCTGCGTTCAATAAATTCACGAACTTTTGAAAGTCATTTCAAGCTACAAAGTACATATAACTACAAGTTTGCAACAAACTTTCGCTTTCAAACCTTTACTATCTGACAATGAGTCGACCGCTGCCTTAAAAGACCTTTGGAACAAATGCAAACATATATGCTTGTCCAATTTTGTTTACTTTTTCTTTGCCCTCGGTTTACTAGTTCCGCATTTCAGGAGCAGCTGCCGTTGCACAACTTGTGCGAGTGTACGAACATTGGGTCCCACGTGACAGAATCATCACAACGAACACATGGAGCTCAGAGCTGTCAAAACTGGTAAATTGAAATTTGAAAGGGAGTGATACCTTCAGAAGAAAAAAGCTTCAGGCAGCAAATGCTTTCTTGGCTCAAAGAATTTCATCGATCAACTCGATCTCGGCCATCTGTGAGGCCACTGGTGCTGATGTACAAGAAGTCGCACATGCTGTCGGTTTTGACCAAAGGATTGGTAACAAGTTTCTGCAAGCTAGTGTCGGTGAGTAATTCAAAATTTTTTGTTCGCTTTTAGTTATCTTACAAGGTGATGAAAGTGCGAAAAAAGCTGGCGAAAATAATTGTACAGGGTGTCCCAAAAATGGGCCTACTTATTGTTAATAACTTTCTTGCCATGAAGTTTCTCGAGAAGCTTTAGGTGCCATTTTGTAGAGCTGGCTTTAACCTAGATTTACAGTAGAGAACGAATCACCGATCGCTCATACTGTAAGATTATGGCAGGAACTTTCAGCATACAGCGTGACTGTAAAATTGGCCTTTCGAGAAAAAAATTCCAGAAAAATCTGAAAAAGTGTACTACAGTTTATTCGAGCATACTCATTTCATTACACAAATTTTGCTTGCTTTAGAAAGTTTTCAAATGGTGCAGTCGAGTTTTTGGGGAGCATCGAAAAACCGATTATTACGGTATATCTGACATAACTTATGAAATAAGAGTTAGGCTAAAGTGCTGGCTTCATATTTAGAATTAACGACTCCGATTACGATGTGAAACTTCTCAGCCCATTCGATTCCTTTCTGTAAGTGAAATATGGCCCTCAACGACTCAAAACCTTCTTCAAAATTCCTACCGTAATCCTACAGTACGAATGAGCGATCGGTAATTCGCTCTATACTGCTCTATAGTGATCCAGCCCTATAAAAGTATCATAAACTTTTTGAAAGACTTTATGGCAAGAGAGTTATTAACAATTAAGCAGTAGGCACATTTTTCTGGGACACCCTCTATTGTTACTGCCTAACAGTTTTCAATCAAAATATGTCTTTTATAACGAAAAGTGATGGTTATCACGCGATTCAACTCTATAGAAAATAAAGGGCTCATTTGCAGCTTTACAGTATGCTGCCATGGCACTTCCCAGCTAGAGCGCATGGCTCTGTAGAATATCATAATAATTACTATTTGGGATACATCCTGAATTTACTTCTTTGTCACCAATTCATTTTGATGTCTCTTTGAGTAAAAATGCAGAACTTATGGCTGTGGAATTTTGAATCCGTAGCTCTTGGAGTGTAGGCAAAATTTTCTTTCAGAAACCAAAAAAGAGAGAAATTGCATATGCAAACTTCAAATGAATGATTGCTTGTTTATCATGATTCTTCGAATCGAAGTATGGGGAATGTTTTTGTTTTTAGGATTTGGTGGAAGCTGCTTCCAGAAAGACGTTTTGTCACTGGTCTATCTGTGTGAATCCCTCAACTTGCGTAAAGTAGCCGACTACTGGATGGGGGTACTATAAACTTTCTATTTTACCAAAATAGCTCAAAACAATCTACTTTTACAGGTGATAGAGATAAATCAGTGGCAACGTCGACGCTTCTCCGACAAGATCATTGCCGAATTGTTCAACACAGTGACCGACAAGAAAATTGCAGTTTTCGGATTTGCTTTTAAAAAGAATACTGGAGATACCAGGTACTAATAAAGCGGTTTGTAGAATAGGTATAATTTGTTGTTTGGTGTTTCAGAGACTCATCAGCAATTCATATCATCAGCCATCTACTCGAAGAACACGCTCGTATTTCGGTCTACGATCCTAAGGTAGAATAAATCAAGACTGAATCAATGACATAATCAAATATGACAACTTCAATCCTACTCTTACTCTATTTCAAAAATGAAGTCCCACACAGTATGAATCCCTTGAAAAGTTGGTCAAGTAGATAATTTTATCTTATATATAAAGCTGAATGTCTGTTTGTCTGTATGTATGTATGTATGTATGTATGTATGTGTGTACGTATGTTTCGAATAGAAAATTCCATTTCTGAACCGATCCGGACCAAACTTGGCACACATACACTTCGGGCCCCGGCGGGTGTCATAGGCTACTTTTCGTCATCGATCGATATCGATTTTATCGATTTTTATCGATTTTTTTGCTGAGTTCACCTACGGGGCTGGGAGTTGGCACAGGGGGGAAGTGAGCATGGGGATTCCGAATACAACATTAGTTTTCAGGATTATCGATTACTTTTATCGATTTTATCGATTTTTTTGCAAAGTTTGAGCTACGGGGCTGGGAGTTCGCACAGGGGGGTAGTCGAGCATGGGGATTCCGAATACAATATTGGTTTTCGGGATTATCGATTACTTTTATCGATTTTATCGATTTTTTGCAAAGTTTGAGCTAGGGGGCTGAGAGTTGGCACAGGGGGTAATCGAGCATGCTGATCATCCCCAAGGGGGGTGCTCGATTACACCCCTGTGCCAAATTCCAGTCTCCTAGCTCAAATTTTCAAAAAATCGATAAAAGTAATGGACGATCTTGAAAACTAATATTGTATTCGTAATCTGCATGCTCGATTATCCCCTTGTGCAAACTCCCAGCCCCGCAGGTCAAACTTTACAAAAAAAATCGATAAAATCGATAAAAGTAATGGACGATCCTGAAAACTAATATTGTGTTCGTAATCAGCATGCTCGATTACCCCCTTGTGCAAAATCCCAGCCTCGCATGTCAAAATTTACAAAAAATCGATAAAATCAATAAAAGTAATCGATAATTCTGAAAACTAATGTTGTATTCGGAATCCCCATGCTCACTTCCCCCCCTGTGCCAACTCCTAGCCCTGTAGGTGAAATCTGTAAAAAAATCGATAAAAATCGGTAAAATCGACATCGATCGATAACGAAAAGTGGACTGTGACACCCGCCGGGGCCCGAAGTGTATGTGTGCCAAGTTTGGTCCGGATACGGCGGAGCCGGGTAAGCCAGCTAGTTTTATCGATAATACCATCCATCACTGCAAAACTAGATCAAACTTTTTCGAAATTTGCAAAATCTCAAATGGGAAAACCCTCGGAAAGAAAATCCAAAATACATTTTTTTATAACTAAGTTTCTCCAAACTTCTGTTAAAGTTAGAACGAATCCAAGCCCAGCCAACTGTACCATTTGCAAAAAAGATGAACTCATTTAGGTGACAGAAACGCAAATGCGCTGGGAACTATCGCAAAGATCACCAGAAGAGACAGGTTTGTAGAGAATTCGGAAGAGTGTAGAGTTCAGTAATCAAATGTAATGAATAGACAGTTCTAATTTAGTTACGAAGCTCGTTATCGTCCACGATAACCCTTACGATGCGGCAGAAGGTGCACATGCGATAGTTGTAGTCACAGAATGGGACGAGTTCAAGGTAAGTTGTTTCCCAGTCTGCGTTCAGAGTTGCCAGCGCCAGCGCCGTGCCAGAACCGTGCCGGAGCCTTGATGATTACACGCCCATTTAAGTGTTTTGGCACGGCGGGGCATAGCGACTACGGGTAATTTTGAACGCCACCCAAGAATACAAAACTCTATACAAAGAAATTTATTCCAGACGCTTGACTATGAACGAATCTACAAGACAATGCAACATCCAGCATCAATTTTCGACGGGCGGCTCATTCTCGATCAACGTAAGCTACGTTCCTATGGATTTCGAACCTTTGCCATCGGCTCAGCTCCCGACCAAGCCTATAATCTCTTCGGTAGTTCTGGCTACTCGACTTAACTTCGAACCATCTACTTATTTTGACCATCATTCATATAGACCACCTTGCTTGCCTTGTTTGAACATTTCCAAGTTTTACATTACACTTTCGCTATGTCACTTATAAAATGTGCACTGCTCATAATTCTTGCTGTCATTTATTTATTGTTTCTGTCCTTTTCTTTATGAATGCACAAATATCTTTATGCACAAAGATAAACGATTCTCGGAATGGTAGTGCTTATGAGCATCAACACTATTTCTGCAGCTTAATACTGAAAAGGATTCTATGTTCAAACTCGGACAAGAAACGTCAGGACTTTCGGATGACGATCTTTTTTTCTTCTTCATCTTCGTCATTGTTTCCTGGGCGCAGAGTTGCATCGTGATTTCTGACTTTCGGCTGCTTCTTGTGGTGTGAGGAGTCGAAATTTCTAATTGTGTTCAACCAAAGTTGCTTCGGCCGACAGCGAGACCTTTTTCGCTGTGAATCTAAGCAAAGTGTCGTATTTGCTATTACGGTATAGTCGTCATTTCGTAAGATTTAACCATACCATCGTAATCTTGGTCCACGCATTTGTCCACGATCAAAGCAACTCCAAAATGTGCCAGATGACGCGGTTTGCGTAAAGCGAAGTATTATATCTATCATATCATGCGCGTCACCAACGTGGATCAGGCTGATCGTGCTTCTTAGTCGCTGGCCAAAATATGCTACGTACAGGGCGATTGGTTGTACCACCATCCGATATACTTTTGACGGGTGACGATGAAACTTAGACTGGAAGGCCTCCAAAAAAAACGACTCCATCCATTGATGATCATGTCCTCTTAATACTTTGAGTTCCCTACGCTTAAAAGAAAATTCTTTGGGTTTCTCACCCACTTTTCTCTTCTAGGATGGACAAAGTATTCATTGTTAAACTAAGTGCAGCACACGTTAGCGTATGAGACTAAGTACATGAGCATTCAGTATACAGTACCGCGCGTATTTTTGAAAAAAAAAAGACGACACGAAGTCGCCCGATTTATGTGACATCACCGACGCGTGGCCATATCTCACTTCAGAGTGGACGATTTCTTAATCCAAGAGCATCATTTGACTCAGCTCGGCGACGCGCATTTTTCAATATATAGAGGTGCCCGCTTGGACAGGGAGGCGTGCAAATGGTACCCAGGCAGCCGAACACAGGTGCGATAAGGTGAGAATGACCCCTCCAAGGTGAAGGGGGTCACAGCGGTCGCAGCCCCTCCGGGTGAAGGGTATTTCAGTTGGTCAAGAAATCATAAAATGTCGACGGGGGGGGGGGGAGGGGGAGGAGGGAGCCATGCTGTTCTCTCATCATTTTTCCTAGTCAAAGTTTATAATTTTCAATTCCTTGCCATCACTGGTTGTCTTTTTATGTGAGCCGATGTGCTGCTGGATTAGCACACAATTATGGAGCACCTTGCATTTTTTTACATTTTTCCTTTTTCCTTTTTTACATCACCCTGCCTGTTTTTAAAATTACCATAGAGAATGTGCACGCGAGAAGATTTATTTCGGAAAAAAGTTAGACAATTTTTAAGCATTTACGAATTTCAAAAGAAGAAATTCGCAATTTCTGTAGATGAACAGCAACGTTAGCAAGGAAAATGTTTGAACCACCTTATCCCGTTTTTAAAGCATATATAGTTTGCCTGGAGTCTGTTGAAAAAGTGCCTGGCGAAGAGTGTGGGTAGTGAATTCTGGATATTTACAAGTTTTTAGGATAGAAAAATTCATAACTTCTGTAGATGAACATCTTTTACGGCAAGGATGGCAACCGTTAGAATCGCCTTGTTTTCCGCTTCCAAAAAATATATAGCATGTCTGAGATCCATCCAAAAAAGTCCTGGGTGAAGGGCGTCCTAGTGATTTCTGGAGATTTTCGAGTTTTTAACATAAAAAAATTCATAACTTCTGTAGATAAACATCTTATACGCCGCGATGGTCACCGTTAAAACCGTCTCATCTTCCGCTTTCAGAAAATATATACTTTGTCTGGGGTCCTTCAAAAAAAGTGCCGGGTGAAGGGTGGGTGAGACTTTTATAATGGGAGTGCTCAAGTACAGGCTTTTTTACCATTGTGAAAAGACGTCTACTTGAGCACTCCCATTATAAAAGTCTCACCCACCCTTCACCCGGCATTTTTTCTAACGGACCCCGGCAAAGTATATATTTCTTGAAACGGAGGATCAGACGGTTCCAATGGTGACCATCGCGGTGTACAAGATGTTCATCTACAGAAGTTATGAATTTTTTTTATGTTAAAAACTCGAAAATCTCCAGAAATCACTAGGACACCCTTCACCCAGGCACTTTTTTGGATGAATCTCAGACATGCTATATATTTTTTGGAAGCGGAAAACAAGGCAATTCTAACGGTGGCCATCTCGCCGTAAAAGATGTTCATCTACAGAAGTTATGAAGTTTTTTATGTTAAAAACTCGAAAATGTCCAAAAATCACGACTTACACCCGTCACCAAGCACTTTTTTCAACAAATTCCTCCTTTCCTATACATAAGCAATTCGTACAAATATCTCCTGTGCTTAACCTTACCTCACTGTTGATTTTTTTCGGCTTTTGGTGAAGGGGGTCACCTTGGTCCCTGCTCAGGGGTGAAAGGGAAGTGAGAAAATTCTCACACTATCGCACCTGTGCAGCCGACTGCTGCCGCAGCCAGCCGCCAGAGCTGGCGTCAGCGCAGCCGCTTATGGTAGAATAATTACTCTAGCCGTCTGATACCTCTTCCCGAGGGGTTTCCTCGCACCTCGTCGCGCTAAGGTGCGATATCAGCCTCAGGGATAGCGCCATATTATCAATAATGTTATCATATCTATATCATTATAAACAGCAAAAAAGTCCTTAATTCATCGATAAAATGGAAATGAACAAATCTATGGTCCAAAAATTCAACTCTTAAAATGATCAAAAGGTGAAATAATTCAAAACTTGAAAAGTGTTTAGTTATCAAAAATGTTGTTTTGAAATTCAAAACCGGAGGAGAACGGACGGTCCAAATTGAGAAGAACGGTTTGTTCAAATGAGGATTTAAAGACTTAGTGATGATAAAAGTCAAAGTAGGTCAAATGACTGAGCCAATGTGGGTCAAAAAATGAGTAGGTCACTGATAAAAGGAAATATGCCACCCATGCTGATATAAAAGACACTAAGGTCATCACGAACCAAAAAGTCCAAATGCAGCCTTCAAACAGCCTCAGGCTCAAATTGTAAATTGTAAATTCTGTAAATTCTGTAAACTGTAAATTCTGCGCCTCACGCGCTCTGCGGCTAATAAAGCCGCGATCGCGCGCAAAGGTATTGCGCCTTCGTCATGCAGCAGCCTTTACTTTTGTAATTGTAAATGTGTGACGATTTTTGGAGATTTGTCGCTTGTATTAGGTTGTCCGGAAATTAATGCCCGTTTTGAATTTCAACCGCGAAAAGTCATACACGTCTCTCTTCTAAATGGGTTGCAAAGTACCATTCGATAGAGCAAAGCAATCTCTACAAGATGGCTATCTTGCTTTAGCAACAGCTCTGATCGACCACGAGTTTCGAGCCAAAAACTGAAAAGATTCAACTGCCCGAAAAATCGAGAAAAATCGTAACTCTATTCGTAAAAATCCTACAAAAATTCTAACTTGCTCACGTAAACACTATACACATAAAACATCTATATACGCCGTTGCCGTATTTTTTTCTCTGTTAGAAATCAAGAAAACGGAAATTTTTGTGCGTTTGCCAAAGTGGTGCTGTGCCGTTTCCACATAGGTGGTAGTATACCACAGACCTTTAGACGTACAAATGTAAATTTCCAGCTCTCTACAAGCTTTACTTCGCGGAAATTTGAATTTTGGCTTGGACCACATGACTAGGGAAAACTGTATTCGATATTTCTCGAGAACTAAAGCTTGTAGAGAGCTAAAATTTACGTTTGTACTTCTACAGGTTTGTAGTATACAACTACTTACGTGGGAACGGCACAGCATCACTTTGGCAAACGCGCGAAAATTTCCGTTTACTTGATTTCTAACAGAGAAAAAAATACGGCAAAGGCCTATATAGATGTCTTATGTGAATAGTGTTTACGTGAGCAAGTTAGAATTTTTGTAGGTTTTTTAGGAAGCGAGTTACGATTTTTCTCAGTTTTTCCGGCAGTTGAATCTTTTTAGTTTTTGGCTCGAAACTCGTGATGGATTAGAGCTGTTGCAAAAGCAAGATGGCCTTCTTGTAGAGCTTGCTTTGCTCTATCGAATGGTACTTTGCAACCCATTTAGAAGAGAGACGTGTATGACTTTTTGCGGTTGAAATTCAAAACGGGCATTAATTTCCGGACAACCTAATATATAGTTTTTTGTAAATGTTTGCATGGTTCTCAATAAACTAGGAATTTTTTGCTGTTCAAAATGATGTAGATATTGATATACAAGATTGATAATATCACACTGCCTGAGGCTCATATCCAACCTCAGCGACGAGGTGCGAGGAAATCTTTCGGCGGATAGTTTCAGACGGCTAGCGTAATTATCCTACCATATGCGGCTGTGCTGACGCCAGCCCTGGCGGCTGGCTGCGTCAGCAGTCGGCTGTCCGGGTACCACTTGCTACGCACCCGCTTGGGCATAGTAGGAATCCAAATTCCGGAATCGTTTCAGATTGCTTACGGTAAGTTACTCGGTGTGTTTACTCATTGCAGTCACTGGATTGGATTTCGAAATTGCACACTCGCAAAATTGCACAGTTAACCGTTCAGTTAGCAAGTTGGTATTTCACGAAATACCCAAAACTTGAGTAAACTTTAAGATATTTTTTCGGGGCATCGTACCACACCGTCCATTATAAACAAAATCTGTCGTGAAACGACTCACAATATACAAGGAATTGGATTAGGAACACCACAGTAAACAAGTAATTGTTGAGCTGAACTCTTGTTTTTTGGACATGTTTATTTTAGAAACTATGTTTCGTGCGCCAGTTTCTCAGTGTCGCGAAAAATAATAACCGAGATAAGTTCGAGGAATCGCCGAGTGCAGCAAGAAGCGGCTTCCTCACTTCTCTTAGTTGAATGTTTTACATTTTTTCTTTGTCTCATATTTTCATCTAGGTGTCTGATATATAAGTCGTCATGAAAGCAATATTGCATTTTTACTTTTTAGTTTTCGCAAGTTAGAAAAACAAGTACTATTAACACAAGTATGGTGAAAGAAAACCAGCAAGTAATGTCAAAATTCATTTTTGGCTTTGCTGTGTACATACACTTTTGTTTAGTCCATGTTATTATTACTGTTTTGTTCCCATTATCTTGTTATGTAACTTTAGCTGCATGTTTATCTGCTTATCGCTTTGTTTGTAAAGTAAAGGTTTAATTACCCAAGGTTGAGTTGAGGTACGCATCACCTAAAAGCCCGCTTTGTTTTCTAAAGTAAAGGTTCAATTACCCAAGGTTGAGTTGAGGTACGCATCACCTAATGCCCGCGTGACAGTTATCAAGTATAGTTGGCGTCTCTTGCTATTCGAGGGTTATTGTTTTGAATATATATATCAAGTTACCTCAACACAAAATCCTCATTCCTTCTCGCCCTCCCCTTTTTTCCCGGTTGTAGTGGCAGTCCCAAGGCCACTTCTTGGGACTGCCACTACAACCGTCAGCTATGTCGTACGACTCGAAGGCGGCAGCAGAAAGATAGTAAGCGTCACTATTTCCTAAAGGAGGTCACAAATTTATCCTAGTTTTGATTGAAATTTAAATTTAGAAATCAGGGTTAATGAGCATACAAATTCTCCAAAGGAGGGAATCGGAAGGGAATGTTTCTGCTAGTAAACCAATGTAATCTTATTTCATTTTAAACAGAAAGACGTTGAAACCTATAATGAATTTGAAAACGATCAAGCGAAAAAAAAAGAGGAAATTCCTTGTGGTACCCATGCTATCTAGTAGACACTTGCACTGACTTTATTGCATTTTATTCTAATTGCTTAGGCTGACCACTGAAAAACGTTTTTTTCATCTGAGTATACCTTCATATTACATCAACGTTGCTCTAGGGACTAGAGAGAAAGAAAAGCAAAATTATACGACTTTATTCCTTTCTTATTGATGAAACTATGAAAGGGCACAAGACATTTGCACTGTTCAAACAAAAAATCATAAAGCTCTCATTTCTACATTTTGAACACGACAGAGATGACGACTAGAGAAGACGCTGGAGGTGGCAGAGAAAATACAAAAAAAGGAATAAACGAGACAAGATGACGCGAAAAGTGAAGCGAAAAATCACAAACGAATCGGTTACCGTATACAAAATGGGGAGTGCGAAGGAATAGGAAAGTGGAAATGCCCTCGCGCACTTCTTAGGGGAGAACAATCCACAAAATCCATTGGAATGTGTGTTCGCTTCCCTTTTAACAGGAGATCAAAGGAAGATATAACAAAAGTACAACAAGCACGACAGAAAGTTACGTAGCCTAGAATGTTTTCGATACAAAAAAAAAGGAGAAGAGGAACTGGAGCAGTTCATCATCAGTGAGAGATATCTTCAATAGTAATGAAGAATCATATGAAAGAATCTTAAGGCCACTAGAATTGGATAGTATAGGTGGGGGGACATCATAATCGAAGTAGAAGAACTAACATCGGCAACGATATTGAAGCCAAAAGCTGCCTGAGCGAAGACCATGGCGCGGTTTTACGCACTTCCTCGATGTGGGCTAAGGACCGGGCTGTTAGGGCCGAGTTATGCCCGCCACCGTATTGGGTTGTCTCGTCCACTGTGCCAAACATTACCAAGTCCCATTTGACGAGTTCGGCGTCTAGAAGGGACTGATCTATAGAATGGAGTTATTCTGGGAAAGGTTCGGGTAAACTTACCATCCCATCCATCGTTGTCGACTTCGAGGGTCCACAGACCAGCAGCGAGTTCGCCCCAGCTATGAGTGGTCATAAAGGCCCATTCGATAAATCCGGCTCGACTCGTGTCCCGTGCTCGTTTCGTCAAAAGCGTAGATCTTGTACCTTAACATGAAGAAAACGGGGTTTGTTGACAACAATTATCTTTCTCGGAAGTCCCTGATTACACTTTTAGGTAACTGTGAACTTACCCGACGGACTAGTGAGGTAGATCTGTATGTCGCCTCGCTTTGGCGCTTTTAGCGTTATAATAGCTTGTACGTGCTCTAGATAGACGACCTGCTCATCTGGAGATCCAGCACAACCGTCTGTGTACAACTGCAGCTGCAGTCGGTTACCATGCGGTATGGTCCTGAAAGGATGAGAAGTGCATCCGTGATAAATAGCGAAATCGTATTCCCGACTTACTTGAATCGACTTGGATAAAACTGCCGACATTTGTGTTGTTCAGGAGCAGTTGTCCAGTTTCTAGCCAGCTGTACCATTGCTCCAGCGTCCATTAGACCGTAACCGAATGAATGCGACACATTTCGTCCCACACCGTTGGTTATCCAATCACCAGCACGAAGGTTTATGGGTTTTGCAGCTCGGATTACGATATGCTGAAAAAACCCCTATGCTTTGCAAGAACGACCAAAAAGGGGATAGGGAGAAATGGCATGTGGGATATTTTGCATCAGTAAGCCCAAGGTATGCTACTGTAGTCAGTGCAGAGCTGCAATTGCATGCATTACCACACAGGATTACAGTAACATGCAGCAAAAAGTACTACAGCAGTTGCAGCAACACCACAGGGAGTGCAGTGGCGGCAACACTACACCGACAGTGCATTGCAGCAACACCACCTAGAAGTGCAGTTGCAGCAACACCACCTAGAAGTGCAGTTGCAGCAACACCACAAGGAGTGCAGTTGCAGCAACACCTGCAGCAACACCACCTAGAAGTGCAGTCGCAGCAACACCGCACCGGGAGTGCAGTTGTAGCAACACCACGCAAGAGTGCAATTCCACGCAATGTCGCCCGCAACAAGGGCAGTCGCATGCAACAGCACACCGAGAGTGTAGTTGCGTGCAGCACCACACGCCACTTGCCATACAGTAACCCTCAGTGGTGTAAAAGGGCCGTCCTCCCACTGCATTCTAGTCTCACCTGTAAATCCCTCCATGTGAGATCCGGATTAGCTTCTAGCGTAAGTGCTACAATTCCAGCTGCTAATGGTGCACTGGCGGATGTGCCAGTATGCGTGTTGGTGCAGGCATGGTGCAAGTCAGTGGTGACAATCATTTTCTCTCCGGTGGCTCCACTTGAATATGTGCTTGCCAACGTACTGCTACATGCTTCGGAATACCATGGAATATTCCCATTTTCGGTAGCAGCCGATATTGACAGGGTGTAGATGCTGAAAAAAATAGATTAGTTCTTATTGTTTCCTCTTGTGCTCTCGGCGGATATTTTCCCTTTGAGTTCGAAAATTATGATGAGAAAGCACTTTGCACATATGTCAAACACGTGGCGACCGCAGCGCATAGTAATAAAACTACTTATGATAGATTTATGGAACCGCTCTACGACGGCAGTTTCCACTCATCAACAATAAATGATGGGAGCGGAACGATTTCCATAGCAAAAGGCTTTCTATTCTTCATCAGAATGGGTTTTGCAAAAAAATAACGCTTTTGATTCAGAAGTCAAGTCACTTAAGCAAAGGCGAGGTGCAACAGACATAAGAAAAAAGTTTAAAGAGATTTTCAAAACCGATTGGATTACTGAAGCCACCAAAAAGCTCTCTAATGATATTCAATTTTTCTGGAGTATTGGATTTACATTTCTCACTCTACAACTTGAGATATATGTGCTGTCGAACTCTGCTAAAAGTTCCAAACGCATTGTGATTCGCTTTGATTCGATAAAGACCTTTATACTGCGGTAAGGTGACAATTCTCATATCAAGATAAAGCTATTCTGTCGGTAGTCACTCCATTCATATTGAGGATTTTTTCAACGATTTTGGTACACGATTTTCAAAAAATTCGAATTGACTCACCTATTAGTGTATCCATCGCAGTTACACGAATCCGCATCTTTTCCTCCATTTCCGGAAGCCCACACAAATACCGATCCTTTGCCTCGACGTCCTTCTCGGATTCCTCTTTCAAAAGCTGCTCGTGTGAGTTTTGCCGGTCCATCAACGGTCCTTCCGTCGTCATCAGGGCCCCATGATGCGCTAAAGGGGAGTTTGGGAAATTTTTAAGAGTTTTAGGGTAATGATGCTTACCTATAGATGTCAACATAATCCGAGTTATGACCTAACGACGCAGCTTCGACAGCGTCTGTCACATCACCATCAAGCATGCGAATACCTAAAAAGATAGAAGATTACGGTAGAAAATCCTCAAAAGAACAAAGAGGGCGATACCTCCAATTCGGGCATTGTACGCGATTCCCACTATACAAAGGCTATTGTTAAAGATTGCAGCGACTTCTCCAGCGCATCTCGTCCCGTGCCTGTTCTCATCCGAATACTCATATCGAGGCATGGGATCGTCGTCACGATCGTTGACGTCATAAGAAGCGCGAGCGTCCTGAAAACACATCGTTTGGGAATCCTTTGTTACCAGATGGCTAGGTAAACACTAACGTAATTGGGTGCAATGTCCGGGTGGGTTCTTTCCAAACCATCGTCCAAAATTGTCACGACAACGCCACGACCCGTATAGCCCAAATCCCAAGCTTCTTTTACGTTATGATCCATTTTTGAGTTACCAGTGATTTCGGCGCGATTCTAAAAAAAACGTGCTGGTTTTATCGTCTTAGAGCTGCTCTACAGTTGTCCGCGTCCGTGCCGTGCTAGCGCCGTGCCAGGATGTCGATCGATCTGCGTCCGCACGGCACAATGCTGGCCGGCGCTGGAACGCCGCTGGCACCGGACACAGGTAACACTGAATGCTGCCAAATTTGGCCAAGTTCCAACTTACCAAGTACCACATATCAGTCCAAAGTGGGTCGTTCGGATCCGGTTGTTTTCTATTTCTTGACTTGCTCACAAGAGTTTCGTCCTCTCCGTAAGTTATGTCATTTTCCTAAATTACCGAAAAGATTATGGTAAGCACAAGTGAATGTGTGCAACTACGTACATTCATCGTTCGACCTCGCCGTTGTCGCTGTTGTCGATAGTCTCGTTTCACCCGCTTTTTGGCGATTTGTTGCTCCATCCATACTATCTAGAAATTGGAAAGAGTAGAAAAGATAGGTATACATTAAAGCATCCTGAGGACAATGCTGGCATATTACAAAAATATCGGTGCTATTTTTTTTTGCTGATAAGTAAGTGTGAAGCAGATACAAGTAGTAGCTCAGAGAAGTTCCAACTAGGATCAAAAAAACTGCTAAGTCCCTGCGAAGTTTGTTACCGCAGAAAATGGCAAATTCGCAATCTGGAAGGAGAATGATAGCAGATTATTCAAGTTTTAAGTACGAAAAATAAGAGTTTCTCAAGAGTTTTCTTTGAGCTTGATATTTACAGGGAAGGAAATGCCATGTCTCAATGTTACAATTTTTTTGCTCCCCTGATCGTACAAATAATTTTTTTTATTTTTGCAAAAGGCGCAACTGCATGCATCTCTGGCATTCTGGAGCTTCATCACTCTCATCGTCTGTCGTCTCTTACGATCATTAACTCTCTTGCATTTGGAAAGACCAAACAGAGTATGCTCCTCCACGATGGCCCAGCCATAATTTGCTTTTGCAAAACTTCTCAATTGTGGATGGAAAAAAGCCAAAGTAAGTTAATCTGCCCCCTCACCATCCGTACCATTTTCATTTCCTTCTAAACATCTGCTTTGTGCTGACTACAACTAATTTGAAAGCTCTCACCTCTGGCTCGTGTGAAATGCGGTTCAGCTGTAAACTGCGAGTTTTTCGCGACGATCGACTTCGTTGATTGACATTGCGAAACAAAAAATACTCTTCACCCGGAATGATCTGAAAAAATTGAGAACATTACGGTCACTACTATTTTCATTTTTTACCAAAAATGTGGGGGAATGGGGTCGTCGGTGTTTGCATATCGCTTTTTGTGATCTTTTTTGCAAACAAATCAGAGAGGAAGTAGTGGCTACTGTGTAAAAGCAGATAAAGTGTTTCCCCTATCGAACATTCATGGAGAAACTTTATTCTGGAAATAACGCTATAATGTGTGAGAAAAAGTTTTTTTGCTAGAACAAAACCAAAAAAGTAGGCAAACAATTTTTAGACCAAAACCCTTGGAGCCTGAAATTCTTTTTCCCCACTTCCCATTTCCCGTCAATTGCACAAACCACGCAACAATTTGTGCACAAATTGACTGAATGTCGCGAACCTTCGTTTTTGCAGCACTAGATTTCATGCTTGACTTGGTTCTCAAAGAAGTGCAAGCAAAAGAAAAACTTTCCATAGCAAAACTTTTTGCAGAAAAATTTCTTCCACTTTTGCGGGCCAAAAGAGCAATTATAGCTGGTTGATTGCGCACACAAGTTTGGAGCTCCAGGTGAAAAATTTGGGCAAATATCAGAATTGTTTTTCTTAGCGAAAATAGCGGAAATCTTAAATATTTCCTTCTGCAACGAACGGCTCGATATGAAAGAAAATCGAGAAAATCAAGGTTGGACCTTTTATAGAATGACGTTAGCTCAAAATTCGTAGAAAAAGGAAATTTTGAAATAAGCCATGAAAAACGCAAATTCAACAAAAACAAAACAAACGTATTCAGACTATAATAATTAGCGAATTACAATAATCTGGAAGTCAATTTGATATAGGAAATTCTCAGTGATTATTCTAAATTATTTTCTATGACATAATTTAGATTTTTTATCACAGGAAATATCAATTATCGTTTACTTTTGACATTTTCATGGGAAAAATTTTATCTTTTAGTGCAATCGGTCCGGAAGTTATGCAACTTCATTTCAAACGTAAATTCTCGCTATTTGGACAGTTTTGCTTCGCTGTATTTTTATTCAGAAGAAAAACCTCCTGCCTTGTAATACTATTTTAGGGAATTTCTCCGAACAGTGGCAGCATGAATGAAATCAAATGAAGAAGATTATTTGAGCTCCAATCATTTTGAATTGGGCCTTAAAAACCTGAAACGTTGCAGAAAAATTGGGAATCTTCGGTAAACAAATTTTAGGACCTTTCTTTGCAACTTTGTGCTTTGTAATTCTCTGTAAAAGTTATGAATGCAGAGTTGACTAAAGAATTCGAAAATACACCAATTCGTCGCTTTTCTAAAAAATTCTCATAAGAACGTCAAAACAGCACAACAGCACAGCTTGTTTTGCTTGCAAGAGCAAGTTAAAAAATTTGCATATGATTTCATATTTTTCTAGCGTTCGAGACTTTTGATGACAATTTAAAATTATCAAAGGTTGTACAGTCTTCCTTCCATTTTCATTTTTGCATTACATGTGAAACAAAGTTCGAAAAAAAGTGTTTGAAAGCGAAAGAGTTCTTCTTTCTAATAAAACTAGTAAACCAGTATTCAAAGGTGCTAGATTTGCATCCGCGCGCTTCCGGACCCCACAGCGGTTTCCCGCTGTCTGATGTTTTTAAAGTGACCTCACAATTTTTTATATATTAGATTACAAGCAAGCAAATCCACTAGGCAAAGTCAGATATTTTTGGAAATGGAACGGCAAAACTATTAGATCAAACCAATAATTATTATCTCATTCTATTCATATTAGTTTTATGGAGCCATAAGTGTCTTGTAGGTTGCCGAGAAATAATAGAAAGATACTTCTGACCAGGCAAGAAAAGTGATGGATGCAAACTTTTGATTCTCTCCCCCTCCTTTACTCTACGCTCTTCTCTAGCTCTCTTCATAGCTCCAATAAAAAGCCAAACTCCATTTTCGCGCAAAAGATTTCGTATGCAGTTCCAAACACGATTTCCATTTGTGCGTGAATGAATTCAGAAGACATTGTGCATTTGGGAAACGCGTCGCAGCAACGACGACGAATTGAATTTGCAGATTCGGAAACGAAATCGAATTTTCACTGGAACGTGAATGTGTCTTGTAAGTTATTCAGCGCCGTGACAACCCATTATGTGGCGCGAGTAAGCGCAATCAGAAGTATAGGAAACCACTCACTCGACCCAAATTCTGGTACCCGTACTTGGCCGCGAGTCGCGCCGCTTCTTCGTCTGAACCGCCAGCAATTCTGACCGCCCATTCATTAGTGTAAGCCTTACGAAGGCTTGACGCTTGTGAACTCGTACTGCTTATTTGATCCTGCAAAAATAAACATTGAGGGTAGAAATTTCCAAATTCAATTTTGAGGGCGGAGCGGGAGCTGGTGGGAAAATTCAAAATTTGCTAAACATTCGAAATTTATGAAATAGTTCTACTTTTCGAAGTGAAGCTGCTTTCAGCCTTATGACATAAGAAAAATTTACGAAGTTCCGGAATGATGTGTTTTTTTTTTGAATTTTGAATATTCAATTTTCGAAAAAGATCTAAAAAACAAAATTAGCATGAACTCACCTCATAATTATACTCTGTCGCACTGAGAATAGCAAATAATGAAATGAATGATAATATACAAAGTGAAGTAGTGACGTTAGGAAATGTCAGTCGTATCCTGAAAGAAGTCCGTTAATTTGAAACCAGTAAAAAAATGTGCGCACAGATATAGCTAGCTATGTTAATGGCCAAGAAGAAATTGAATAGCCAGAGCATTACGAGTAGAAAAAATGCCCAAAAGTATCATGTTAAAAATCTGCAGCGATGCAAATGTAGCAGGCATAAGTCACTTTTTTAGACTTAGTAGAGATTTTGAATGAAAAGAAAAAACAAAAAAATGAATTTTCTCTGGACAAAAACATGAGAAGGGTAGGGGCACGAACTCCGCCAGTTTTGAGCCGCCTCCGCAGGCTACCCGCTTAAGTCACTTTTTTAGACTCAGTGCAGATTTTAAATAAAAAAAGAAAACAAAAAATGTTATTTCCTCTGGACAAAAAAATAAGAAAATTATTTCTTCTCGTTTCTTATTCATAGTATTATTACATTATCACATTTTTTTCCTAATCCCCTAAAGTTAAGTTATTTCCACTGAATACGATTCATATGACTTCGCCTTTTCGGGAAAACTCATTTCCTGGGATTTCTTGAGAAAAAAACGGTTGCAGCCAAGATGTCTTTCCAGCTTATGGAGGGCTGCGTAGTAAAACGTTGTTTTGCGATAATTTCAAAAAAGGACGAATACGAGAAACTAAACCCACATGGACATTTAGCAAAGATGGAGAACAAATGCTTACTTTGAATTATAAACCAAATCTTTTTTAGGGTTTCACTTTCATTCTGATTAGAAGAGTATAACATCAATAGTAAGAAGCAAAATTACAAAAATTGGTCACAAAGTTTATTCAAGAATTTATCGTTCTTAAAAGACATAACAGACAATCACGCCACCAATGTGTCATCATAAAATTAGCTGACATTCCACTTATCAAAAATTATGATCTTTTTTTGCCATAGTTAACTAATAGGTGTGGTTAGGCAAAATTATCTGGAGAGACATAATGACATATAGTCGCAGAAAAACAATATAGTAGTTAGTCTTGTGACAGCAGTTGTTTTTATGAAAAATTTTGGCTGGAAGAGAGCAATAGAGAAGTTCAAAAAGGACGTGAAAAGCTCAAAGCGTTGATCGTAGCAAAGTTCTCCTAGGCAGTAAGCAAAATTAGGAGATGGACTTACAACGAACTTGGTCCTTTAAATAGCGAAAGAAAGTCACAAAAAAGTAGAACTATGATGTCATTGTGAACGTAAGCATGGAATGACTGTGTTGGAGTGGATCTCACAGTATTTATACTGATGAGTCATGCAAATTACCCAATCTTTCGCCATCGAAAGTGCAAAAACTGTTTCGAAAAGATTACTAGGCTCGGAAATTCATACTGTATTGACGACATACAGGGAATTGTAACCACTTGGCAATTATGGGAGAAATGGAAAAGTAGGTGATTACTCAGACTCTGATATTGCTACTTTCTCCACAACTTCTCAAAATTGCAAATCTTGGAGCTTTCAGCTGATTTCTCATCATCTGACCTACCGAAGCCTATCTTTTATGAGACCAAAATACCAGAATACCTAGTTTTTTTTTTACCACAAGCCTTGAGAAGAATCACCTGAGACCGACTCTTCAATGTATTTTGTGCACAAGCATATGATAAAATCGCCTTTTAGCATTACAAGCTAATAGCCACCCAACCAAGAAAAAACAAAGAGACATTAGTATGGGGAACTGTAGTTAGAACCACCATCCTTTTCACTTGTTAGCATCACTCATCCGATTTTCTGTCTATTCCACTATTTCCAAACGTTTTAAGGAGGAATTCATGCAATGATTTTACTTTGATTTCACTCTACTCTATCCTATCAATTGACTTAAGCGTCTTAGAAGCAGTAAAAGATTGCCAAGAAAGCGGTCTATAAAAACAAAGCCCTAAAGTCGGTTTTTTGCACTTTCAAAACTTTAAGATAAATGAGAACAAGTGTCGTAGTTGAGAACCTGTACTTTGTCTCCTCATACAAAGAATATAAATTCTTCCCAAGAGGTTTTTACGCAATCGTCATGAAGTTTCCTTAGAACTCGTACTTTAGGGAAGCAAGTGCCGTAGATGGCAATTGTACTTTGACTTGCGATAATTTTGTTATTGAGATCAGAACTGGAGATAAGGAGTGGTATGGAAAAAACTCAAGAAAAAACTCTTATCTATAAATCTTAGATTTCATAACTTCTAGAGTAAGGAAATTTATCTAAATGGGGTAAGAGTTCGCATCAACAGCGCGGATATAGTTACGCAGAGATAAGTGGCATTAGAAACAGGAAAATTTGGTTAGCTTACCTCCAAAGTTTTACCGAAATCTTTTGAAAATATGAGTTACAAAAATTCTAGCTTAAAAACATCTTTAGAAGGAGATAATGAGTTTAACTTGTATGCCTATAGCCTGAACTGAGTGAGATTTGATACAGGAAAACATTTTATTAATTTACTTGAAACTTCAGTGCAGAAATTCCAAAGTTTAGAAAGTATCTATCTAGACTCTACCAATTAGTGTCGACCTTCAAAGGAAACCAATGCCGATGTATTGTGATCAAATCCCTTGCGCTGAGGATAACAGGCGTTTGAAACGGGAAAAACTTGATAGAATTACCTAAAGTTTTGCAAAGAAAAATTCTAGAAAATTTTCACTTACTTAAAGAGTTTCATGACAATTGTTTAGACGAAAGTATTACACAGCCCATACATTGTATTTTTGCGCCCAGCATAACTGCGTTTGAAACAAAAAACTAGATAAATCACATTTGATATTACTCGGAAAATTCTACGAAGTTTACAACTATTGATACCGAACTGCGAAAACCATGTAACGCGATGCAAACCACATATCACCGCCGCATCACTACGCACCAAGATATGCAATGACTAAAACAGGAAATTTTTTAACAAATCACTCAAAACTCATTGAGAAGGTTTTGGAAAATTCCTCATTTAAGTATAGAGACTCCTTGAATATCGGACAAAAAACTTCGTACACTCCCTCAGATTTTTTTATTCTCCTAGAATAACTGGCGTTTGAAATCGGAATCAGATTGATTTATTTTGAATTTCACTTGGAAAATTCCAGAAAATCTGCTATTCTTGAGTTTTACTGAGTAGTATTGTACAGTTTGCTCCCTTTGTATTCTTATGCCCCTATCTCATGACGCATCGGCTCTTGCCAAGTAAACAAACCAAGGTTACTTAAGTAATGTTTACTCGCCACGAACAAATACGCCATTTTCCATGCGGACTTATGCGTCCGCCTACACATTCACTTCCTTTTTCTAGTGGTTTATAGGAATTTTCGGAGGAGAAAAAACGAGAAATCGAGAAGACGGGTATAACATCAATTTTGGAGCTGTGAAGAAAAACAAGGATGACGCGAGATTGGATTTGTGAAATGACGAATGAACCAGGGAGAAAAATGAGAAAACGAAATTCTATTTATTTTTGGAGCGAACAAAGAAAGTAGAAAGAAAGAGGAAGAGGCGGAAAAGGGAACTAACCGTTCGCATCGTGAACTTCTCGCTTGCCCATTTGTTCGTTTCGGCTTTGTATCCATAAATGTCAAAAAACTCTCAAATGCATGTCCTCATAAGCTACTGGAAGCGCTGAAACAGGAAATTTTGAAAATTTTAAAAGAAAATTTGCACGAAAACACAAGTGCGCAGATACAGGGATAAAAAGCGGTATAAATGTCAGTGATTTCAAGGAAACCAAAAACCAGCCAGCGTGAAAATTTTCTTGTATAGCTGAAACAGGAAAGTTTTTGTGAAATTTTTCAAGAACTGGCAAGGGAAAAAAACCCAGTGCGAGGAAGATCTTTCGTGCAGAAAAAAATACTGTAACTTCCAAGGAATGCGAGAAAATCAGGAAATTGAAAGGCAAATCTGTAGTAGCTGAAAATTTCTCGATATATGCGCTAAATGTCGAGGGGAACTCCTCATTTATCGATCACAGAAACTGCGGTGAGAAAAACGAGCACTGATAAGGCTGATAAGCGGATTGACTAGAGAAGCTGTGAAACTAGCTTGGGAAAACCCTTCAAGTGGACGACTGTCCATGAACAAACGCGAAGTGGATTCAACAAAGCCACCCAAGCTGGAAATGACAGTTGTCCTCAAAAAACGACGCTTACTGGGTGGGGCAGAGAGAGAGAAAAATTAGCGACAAAGGGCAGATGTGGTTCGGCCGGGGGAGAATGGCGACGATGTCACGGACGAGTGACCAAGGGTATCAGATGACACTTTGGCATTAAGGAGTAATGAGATTAAATGGAGAGATAAAGTGAAAGTGCTCAAAAAAAAGGTAATGGTATTCCTGAAAAAGAAAAAGTGTTGAAAAAACTAATGGAAAAACTTCTCCAGCCATTAAGGGCAAGAAAAAGGTAAATTTAGAATAAAAATCTATCGGGTAATGGAGGAAAGGAAGGAGCAAAATACATTAAGGGAATGTAGCTGAAAAAGAAGCTGTTTGGGAAAGTCTATAATGGATTTTATTTAGCAGAAAATTCCTTGTCATAATTGATTGAAGCATATGAAATAAATCAAATAAATAAATAAGCAAGACACCGTGCTACTTTTCATTTTCATCACATTTTGGAAAAAATTCAAAATCTTAGTTATGGAAACGTGGAACTTTTGAAATTGAACCTTTATAACTCTATCAATTCTCATCAACCCTCAGACTTCTTGATTACAGTGCATAATCCATAAATTATGGTCCGTTAATCTCCCTCCCCCCGCTTTACCTTTTTATGTAATTCTTCAACAAACAGTCACTGGGATATTGACATTTTGAATGAATCTATGACATAGAACTGAGATATTAAAGACAAGAATAGTATAAGTAGAACGGGTCTGTTTTCATGAATTTTTGTGGAGGAGAAGTGGGCGGATGCAGACAACAATGGTTTTCAAGATAATGACGTGAGCAAAAGTCAAATATTTGCAAATCTCTTTACGATGACATCATTTTGCCGTCGAAAAAACATCAAGCAAATTTGTGATTCCTTCCGGCTTCTGGCTAAACGAGTTTTCGAGGGCGGAACATTGGCTATTAGAGCGCAAAATCTTTTTAGCTTTGGAAATTTGAAATGATGTCAACGTCACAGGTGCATAAAGTTTTCAGTGCAAATAATGGGTCTGGGGGGGGGGAGAAGAAAATGTGAAGATGATGCTCACAGCGGTAGGCCGGCTGGCTGGCTGTGTTTACGGACGATGGCGAAAATTTCAGTGTGAGTCTGATGAATGCGCGACGACAAGGAGGGCGAGGGGGAGAAGGCCAGAAGTGGGGGGGGGGGGTCCGGGGACAAAGGACCAAGGTGCGATCGAGGTCGTCCTGCGTCCTGCGCCCCTTTGACGTTGTTTGCTTCTTCCTCGTTTTGTTTGTATGTTCGAGGGTATGATAGTCGTGAGTTTGAGGGTCGCGACATCGATACGAGTGGACCTGAGGGGTCACGCCATGCCCCCCCTCCCACCCGAATCCGCTGCTATGATGACTGCGCTAGTGTATGTTTTCACTACAAACATATCCAATAACAGAGCACAAAGCTGAGAGTGCGGGGTATTAGACCACGGGGGGCTCACTGGTGCTGGGACGAGTGGGATCAATGATCTCGGAGGCTTACCCGCTGCCCCGTCGCTGCCCCGCCACCCCGCAATCCCCCGTCCGTCTCGGCGGCAACGGAACCACTGAAGTCGAGCGCAGCTTCAGGCTCAGGCCTTCCAGAAGGGGGGGAGGGGATCTGGAGCCTGACGAGCTCTAGCATATATGCATCACTGGCTGCCGATGAATGCACTTTCATGAATAGAAGAGAACATTGAAGGAGGTTTCCTAATTGAATCATGCATTCTTGCACTTTCCGGATAAAAATGGAAATTTTTTGGAGGATGCTTGAGATTCAAGGATTTGAAATGCGAGAAATATGCGATAAAAATTCAAAAAAAATGGGGTTGATTTGCAGGATTATGCGCATTCACATATAAACAACGTTAACATTCAAAAAACTTCATCACGAAAAAAACGGGCTTTACAATTCGATTACTTAAGATAACGTTGAAACAGGGCATATTCAGCTTATTCAAGAAAAAATCAAAAACTAGGGAAAATTCTGCTTGTTCAGAAAAATAAAGTAATATCTCGAAAGAATGGAAACAGTACAAATTGAATCTATTTGGAAGATAAACATAATGATAAATATAATTCAAAAAAAGCACTTGGTCTAAAGAGTTATCAGATGAATAAATTTTTATATGCCAAATACACCATAAAATTTCACTAAGAAACCTAATTCAAAAAATATTTGGAAGTTTATATGAGCGCATACAATAAAAAGTTGAAAGTGATTCATTTCTAAACTATATTTCCTTCTTGAAATTAACCTCCAAGGAAATCAAAAAGCTTTCCCATTCCAAGCCAGTGGATTGAATAATCGTAAAAACTGTCGCTATAGAAACATGCCCTCGAAAGTCCTAAGTAAAGAGGTTTTAGGAGATTGAGTTTAGGGAAATGAAATTAAGTTGAGCAGAAAGGAAAACATAAGGAAATGGTAAGAGAGGAAAAAACGAAGAACGGAGTGGAAAGACTAAAATGTTCAGAGACAGAATGTAAAGTGTTTGTGAATCAACGAAATATTGAGGAATATCATCAATTTTTGTAAGTCCTTTCAAGTGTATGAAGGGGTGTTGGCGGAACTATGTCTCGATAACAAAAAACTTAGTAGGCACTTTGAAAAACGTTGTAGCCCATGTAATTCGAAGAAGAAAATTCATGGCTCAAAAAAGTGAAGAAATTTTCAAAAAAATCGCAATTTCCCTTTACATACTTGATCGCCTAAAACCACTGAACCTGAAGCTGAAGCTCAACAGTTTCCGCACCAACCCTTTACATTACAGGATGGAGAAGAAACGGGAATTATTTGACGGTTCAAAAAAATGAATTAATTAATTTGATCTGCTTATCTTAGAAAGAAGAAGCAGGAATTACTTTTAGAGTTCCAGCGACATCATAGAAAGAAGTAGGAATTATTTTTGGAAAATTATTTAACATTTTTAACCGACTTTCATAATAATTGGTTAAATAACAATCATAATATTAATGACAATAATATCAAAAGTAAAAAATTACTGCAGTAATCAGGGATCTTCCAATACATTAAAACAATATAAAAATTTATGGCCAAAACTAGCATTTTTCTTACTATTATTCTACATCTGCTACTGTTTTTCGTGAACCCCAACGAATTATCGGCAACTTCAAATAAATTTCGCGTACTTTCGCCTCAATAACGTCTGCCGTCAGATGTTTGGCGGATAGGAGCAGGTGCCTAGAAATTCCTGAAATACCCTTGGTCACGCCAATGAATCTCTAAAATTGCACCGGATACGATCTATATGTAGTAGTGGGCAAAAAAAACGGCTAGCGTGAGAATAGTACATAAAATGGGAGCATATGGGAGTCTACTAGCATTTTATTAATCGTTTTGATGTGAGCGACGAGGTTATAAAATTGGAACAGTTGTCGTGGAGCTGCGAGGGGGAGGAAAAAATGATTTTTTATTAGGAGAAAAAGTGAAATATGAGGGGAATGGCCCCAATAAAATAAAGGGAAAATGTATCGGGGCCGAGCAAGTTGCCAACGACACACATGAGGGGTGGTCGGGGTGGCGATGGATTTGATCGCGTTCCGAGTGATCAACGGCCGTCCAACTCGACACCTGTTGCTGACGACGGCCGGCAGCACACGGGGGCCCCCGCCTTGTATAACGCACACACTTGCATAGCAACACATAGCGATTGGATAACAAATGAAAAACGAAGCAGTAATAGAAAGTATGGCAGTCACAATACGTTGTGAGGCAGACTGGATCTGTTGTGCGACTCGCCCGGCGCGTTATAGACTTTTACTGCCTGATTATCATGGGATGAGTCTACAAAACTTGTTTGTATTGGATGATGCGGGATGTAAAAAGTGGTTTGTAAAAAAACATAACAAAGGCCCGAGCATAAGTGGGTTCTTGGGTTCCCTATGGGGGAAACTAATCGGCAGGCCTCAACCGAGGCACTGCTCAAAGAGCAGCTCAAATGATCTGTATGTCGCCGAGAAAATTAAGTGTAAACTCTCGCCCAGTACCGTATACTCCAAGCAACTCAGCGTACTCGAGTACGGTACTGGGCTAGAGTTCAGACACCTTAATTCGCTGGCCATGAGCGGCTTTTTTGCGCTGTTTAAGCATGGGATGGTTAAAGCTTCTCAACAGTACCTACTTAGGAAGTTTAGGTCCCCAGATTTTTCGTTTGCTGAAATGCTGAAGCGTTTGAGGGTGCGGACGGATGGAGGAGGGATCAAAGCGGGAACATTGAAGAGTTTATCTACTGTAAACATACTAGACACTGGTAAACAATCAAAGAATTGTTTTCATCAAAACCTCATGAGGGCTGAGACAAGAGCTAGATGAGGCACTTATAGGATCACACGATAAAAAAATCCAATGGGCTAGTTTGTGATGCTCAGGAGGTGAGATAACCCCGAATATAGAAAAGAAATCAATATTTTATTCCCGCATTTTTTTGAATTAGTTCAAAAAAATTCGTAAAAAATTCTAGATACCAGTGGATGGATAAAATAATGACAATGCTAATTAGTAATAGCATAAGTATTATGTTTCAAGTCAGCCATAAGGTAAAAAACAAAAACGCCGAGATTTGAGCATTTTTTATGTGGTCCAACGAAAATGATTTGCCTGAAAGCCCCATAATACCGCCCCACTCCATTAAACTCAATTTCACATTACGGCGATCTCCATGACAAATGAAGGATAAATTTTGTTAGCCTCTAACACCCCCACCCCTCTCCCGGATAAGCGCAGTTTGAATATTGTTGTATCTAGACTATCACCAAATCACTTTCACTCATTCACTCCAGTTTTATCTGAAAAAAAAAAGATGCTACTAGGCTAACAACTTAGCTCAAGAAATCCCTGTTTCATTCTCATGCCTTAAACTTTGATTTCCAGTTTTCGACGTTGCGGTCTCATCATTTTGAGGATGACATACGTGGACTGGGATATGGAGAAGAAAAGAAAAACATGGCTCCACTGGTGGATCCCTAAGTTCTAAAAGCATTATGCGTTTTCCAAGCCAAAAAAATTGCAGCCGCGCAATTTCCTCGAGCCATTTCGCTCAAGTGACTGCTGCAGGCATTTCTTAGCCGCAGCTAGCCAGTCAGCTCTCGTAAAAGATTCATTAGTGGAATGTTTACCATCGAAAAGAACTTCGACAGCAAAAACATAGGCGTTATGTCGTGTTACATATTTCGTGGCTGGAAACAGTGTGAGCGGACAAGTGGGAGCAAATTGCAAGAGAAAAACTAAGAAAATAAGGTATTGAGGAGATTTTAGGAATCAGAAAACTATGGATACCTGTAAATTTGAAAAAACCTGTGCTTTTAATATAAGGATTAATCTTTCAACCTTTTTTGTGTGAAAAATAATTATATTAATTCGTATGAAAAATCATATCCCAAGATTTTTGAGCATTTGGGCAACACATTATTTTTTCTCAAGTCTCAGATGAAGATCAGGAGATGAAAATTCTAAAAAGAAACAAACAAAAGAGGACCCATGTGAAATGCTTGAGTTGACTACATGCTAGTATAGATGATCAATGAAGGTTGCGATATTAATTTCAGTTTTCTTGAACGAAAATCGTTGTGTAACTGCAATAAAAACTATCGTGATAACATCCATGTATTTTTGAGAAATATTACAGCAAAAACTTCATAGCCTTTGCAGCTGCTCAAGATGTGAGAAAATAATGAGATAGTAAATTATTCGGTGAGGGGAAAGAAAGGGGGGGGGGGAAGGGAGAGGTTGAAAGCACAGGTATACTAACATCTCAGAGTAGATAATTATTCTCAAATTATCTAATTTATACATAGTATTAGCTTGATTTCAAGTAATAATCGATAATTTGCTTGTGATGATTATCACAGTTATTTTTACACATTTATTTATTCACAAAATTTACAACTGCTCGAAAAATATGCAGATGTAATAACGTAGCAGATGTTATGGACACTAATTGGAAACGTAAGGATTCTTCGAAACTGATTAGCATCTGGACAAAGAGCGACATAACAAGCACAATTGCTTCTGTTAGAGCATTCTATAACTAAGAACCTCATAAAGAATATAAAGAATCCTTGAGTGGAATTTTCCTGGCACTTTAGCTGCAATTGCTAGAATATTCGATGCTGAGAGTAGATTTGGAAGGGCAAGGAACTACCAAATGACGTGAACGCCCATAAGGTCGAATGACGTTTGGATAAATCTTCGAGCAACAAAGAAAGGACACATGTGACGGAGATTCTAGGCTCCAAAGCTGTCAGATCCTATTTCGCCCCGGAAATTTGTCCATTTTGAGAATTTCGTTTCTCTTCGTTTGGAAAGGAATGGCAAGGCAACGCGGGAAGCGTTTCTAATGCAGAAGAGAAAATGATTTCGAGTTTTCGGGAAAAATGCCTAGTACCAGGAAGAGAAAAGAGAAACGAAGGTCATTTGGGAAGGTTCCATCAAGTAAGCCTAAAAACAGCACGGTACAGCCTTCGTCATCACAGTTTGAAATTACCCTTTCAAGAACTTGAACTACCAAGTGAACACCACAGTTCAATGACTCTAAAAGGACGGAACTAAGTGGCTAGTGAAAAACAATGCAAGAACACCTCTTAACCTTTAATTTAGCGCTGCTCAACGTACTAGGTCCTCGCACGAGAGCGTGAATGTGTCCTAGCGGGTAATGAACGGAAGAGAATTGGATAATCTCACGCAAGAGGTGGCCCCTGTCTGTCTTGTCCTCCCTCCTCTTTAGGCCAGAAAGCAAAGATTAGATCTTTAGTGGTATGGGCACGAAAGATTAAGGGTATCGTATAGTATTACACATGGGTATGCTAAAGTCTGGGTTCAAATTCGAGAAAGTAGAAACGAAGAAATCGCGATCTTTCAAATGCCAATAAATATAACAAAATCTATCAAAAACTGGGTTATCAAGTCATTACCGATTAAGACTCAAATTAACGCCATTTATGAAAGCTCCATCAAAAAATTTAACATTTTCTCCGTTGATGCATTTTTTTCATTTTTCTAGATTTTTTTTCGAACTTTGTTGAATAGTTGATACAGAACCTGCTCGGAAATCATTATGGTAAAAAAGAATACTATAGAATAATATGAGAGAATTATTTGGAGAAAAAATGAACCTTACTTATTCAATTCGAATTACTAAATATTTGCGGTTTCGTTGAAAAACATAAGAATTTTTAAATTTGATTGAAATGTTTTTGCACTTACTTCTCACAATCTAATTTATTGTATTCTCAAGGAAAGAATAATTGCTTGTCATAGAACTTGTGCAAGCAAAATTCAGAAACTTTTTCGAAAATAGAAACACAAATTTAGAATTGCGATGCTCAAATTTTCTTTCTTAACGAATTTTACAAATTTGTTTTCACAATAGGATGAAAAAGGGAAATAATTCACGAATGTTAAAGAACTTTTGGCCCAGTCTTTTTGCGCTGCCTTTCAAACTTTTTGTTTAAACTCTTTTTGCACTGTCTTCTTCCAAAAAAAAGCTTTTTTCCTTTACCGGTAAAACTTGACTATCCCTCAAACATCATTTTGAAATATTATATATTGGCCACCAGCAACGAGCTCGTTGCTTTTGAGCTGTTTAGCGTTTTTATGCCAAAAGCAATCCATTGACTTATGACATATGTCTATTTCAAATGATTTATCTGTTGTTTTTATGTCCCCGGGGAGTAGTAAGAAAAACATCGAAATGACAATATCAAGAATGAGTAATGGGCAAAGGAATGCAAAACCAAAGGTAGTTATTCACAGAAAGTCTTAGGGAAGAAGAAGTTTTAGGAGATAAAGTGAATGGGAAAAAAGACAAGTTCTTCTTTGATTTTTGAGGAAATTTGTAAAAAAAAGAAAATACTCTACGATGTTTCAAGTTCAGAGATTTGCACCGTTTTCTCTCAACTCATCCCTATTCTAAATTCATTTCAGAACTTTTCAGAGCTCATGACGGAAGAGATTATTATCGTAAACAGTCCTCACCTCCAGCCAATTTTGAATGGTCTAGTAATTAGCATTCAAAATAATTCAAGCTTGATTTCGCCTTCGGCGTCTATGAATCTAATTAGCACCTAAATTCAGTTGTGTAACCATCATGACTCAGGCAAAACACCTTAGATGGTCACTGTTATTAGGATTTACAGTAAATCTCCAGGTGAGGAGGAAAAAACGAAAACCAAGATGCAATACATCTTCTCTTTATAAAAGCCAATCACATTAAGCAAAAAAGGAAAA